GCGTCAACTTGACATAAATAATTCGACCAATTAAATATTAAAATCAGCAAGGGTTAAAGTACATTCAATGTATTTATTACAAGCAATATTAAAACTTACGCCACCACAAAATGCAACGTTTATAAAATTTGAGACAATAATAGTGATTATGTTTCGCGTTAATTCCCAGGCTATTGTAATAAGGTACTCATTTAACAGAAAGGTAAGCAATTTAAATACTGACTTCGCTAAGGAACGTCTCACTTTGAACACAAATTGGTAATAAAATTTGATTAAATATGTAACATATGAATCCTTGTTATACTTGCCTTTTAATCAAATTTTTTCCAACCGCCACCCCGCTCTGTCCCCACGTGAGAATAAAAAGTTTCATCCGTCCCACTATCACCAATAAGGTGACAGATGGAACCGTTATGAAATAAAATAAGTTCTAACTCTCCCGGATGAAACTTTTTATTCTCATCCATCTCCACGTGGGGACAGAGCGTGGTGACGGTTGGGAATAATCCTTTTAATTGCGTGTGTACATACTACTGATCGTAACTGATAGTACAGCCTACACTGTTACGGACCCGTTTGTTTACATCTAGCTCTTGCATATGTTTATGATTGTGTTTCGATAATTTCAACGAAACTCGCCTGTTGTGGTTTTACCGGATGACGTCACATGATTAAGACTAACATAAGCCAATGTATTAACTGTTTATTGAAGAGATTAGCGATTAAATGTAAAGTGTAGGTTTTACATAATCCTAAATGATGCAACGAAACTCTCTATAACGACTTTCTTACGATGTTTTTGTAACAATTTTGTTAGTCGAAGAAAGATAATTTCTAATCGTAATCTAATCAGATTTTAAAAGAAATCTAGCTTGTATTGGTCAAAAATAAATTACTTTAAAAAGCATTTAATCCTGTAATCCTGGCGTAACATAATCGAGCGCTTTTGGAGTCAAGTTGCACCGTCTATTAGGGTTCCTAACAAGCGTCAGAGTGTCGGAGTACTGAGCTGAGGCTAGGCATCTCGTATTACCGTTACCGGCGCCTAGTATGTAGAGCACGAGGTGCGCTGATCGGAGCCTATTCAAATGCAAATACACAGCTGGTCGTTCTAACATTTTCTACGTTCACAAACTTCACTGAATCTCGCCGTGATTTGAATTAAGATTGTTTACGTAATTACGCGTAAATTTCGGCAACAGTTTACATAAAAGTGTAGTTACAGATGTCTAATATTACTATAATGCCGCACTTTAGTCGTTCAATGGTTCCTAAGGGAGTCCCTTGGCTAACTTATACTACTTAAATCTTCGCTTTTAGACATCTTAAGTAAACTTAAAATTGATCTTAGTGCGGCAATTTGTATTTTTTACGTCTCTGCTTATAAAATTCAATTGAGTAAGATGCAGTATTATGTAATATTTCGAAATAGCTACAAATCTTGATAGACAGGCTAAGTTTTGTGAGTTCTTGAGACCATAAAGATACCTTAAAAGTAGTTATGAATGGTACGTGAGCAAGGGCCGGCGGCGCCTTGATTCTAAACTGACAAATAAATCGTCTGTCCGTGTGGGAGGACGCGATTGTCGGCCACTTCAGATAAGCCGTGACCCTCACCCGAAGGAAATCCTACAGGACTCCCTAACTAGAATAATAACGTGCGTAAAACCCACTTTATCCTTCAATCTTTTCGTAGAATGTTTATACATTGGTTACGTAACCTTATTTATTTCCCAGAAGAGTTTAATTAAATTTTTGAAGAATGTACATTGAAGCGGTTTTTCCTTTTTATTGTAAGATTACATAAGCGGTTTTTGAACTGGTTAACATTTGCTTAGTTAATACTACATACTGCACACAATATCATCATTTAATAATAAAAGCGCAAATATAGGAACAACTTTTTGATTAAACTCCAAAAATACTAAAGTTATTTTGACTAAAACTATAAGAAAACTACACTAAAACTATTGATGTATTGCAATGTAACCTGGCCGTGAGCAGTATATTTATAAATGACGCAATTTAATTTATAAGTATACCTTTTAATCGTAATACAAACAGGGTGCTGCGTCATTTAGATTACTTAACAATAACGAAGAGGTTAAAACGACGCGTGTCCCACATCCTCGCGCACTGTAATGAAATACTCTTTACACAGCGTGAATGACACAATCGCATACGACGTATGCCATTTCGGTGCAACATACTTACGAGTAAATTTAATTTTTATTATACAGAAACAATGTCTGTATATCTTGGAATAGGTATTTTGCAGATTGCAGTCACACGCTAATAACGCTGAAGGTTATTTATAACATTTCACAATAAAAAATACTAAGGTCTGAAATTCAGAAGTTAGAAAGGAGTTGATTTGTATCAAAACGATTTATCGGTGATCCAATATTGCTAATCTATTAATTAAAATCGACTGTCTATTTACAAACAATAGCAGACGCCAAGCTTCGTCACCTGCCAGGGTAAACAAATTGTTTTCATTCCAGCGAAGTAAGACGATCTGCCCGGAGTTACGTACCGTGAGACTGAACCACGCCGCAAGTCTTCCTATGTAATGGAAACATATAGGGTTACTTGGACTGCAAAACTTGCAACAGAAAATCTTTCACCGGCATTTATATCACAAATGTAGAGTATAAATGAATAAAAAATTGAAATTAAAAAAAAATGCCTGGAGTTTAAACTAAGAGCTATAGAATATTTATTAGAAATCAAACTAACATTTACGCTTTCATATAAAAGATTATATGTTTATGTTTCAATGTAAGATAAATTAATCTTAATACATTTCAAAGCGATTATTTGACCGTATACTTTCGGTTTACGTTAGCTCATGAACTCGTTCAATAAACACCGCGGCCCGCTATGGAATTAAGATAACAATTTTATTTCTTTCTAATTCGATCAGTGAAATGGATTTTTCATAGACACGGAAAGAGCCGTTGCCGCTTTCCTAGTCAATAAACATTGAACGAAGGAGTTTTCGAAAGTTATTTTTAAGTATGTTTACTTCATACCAGTGGAGAAAGCCAGGTTTTGTGGTAAGCTAACATGTTCTAGCTTACAATTACATAATACACAGACATTCATATAGAATGTCATTATGGAACTATTCTCAGTTTTTAATTAATTTTAATAAATGTAGAAATCGCACCATAAGAACAAAAGTAAAATTAAAAGTATCATTCGTTATTGCCATGCTTTCTATATTTTAACATTGCAAATTAAAGTGATAAACACATTTTTCGAAAAATTAAATAAAAAACATACCAAGACAACTCGTTTCAGGCATTTTTTATTAATATTACTGAAGACAAGGTATTAAATATCAAATTAAATTATCCGGTACTATCAATAGTATGCAAATCATTCGCACGGGTCAGGGAGTCAAATAGTCAAGTTGAATAACCTAACATTTACTTTCCCATCTCGAGTTTGCCCTCAACGAGTGAGGAACGCCAATCATTGGCTATGAACATCATATGTGAACTTGGCCGCTTGACTCGACGGGATTGGGTCATCGAGATATTTTGCCTCGTACAACGAAAAGTCAAAATATAACTCTTTTCCTTGAATAATTCGATTTCAGTACTCTACTTGAACATTTAACAAAGTTCAATAAACATATTTGTCTCTTTAAAAACCAGATTGACGTCTGATTGTTTGATGTGAATTGGATTGAGACTCGCAATTAAACAGCGGCCGTGTTAACGATGGTACGTGTTCAAGTGGAGATTAATAAAAAACTAGTGACCGAACCCGGCTTTGGACGAATAGTTATACTAAGAACAATATTTTTAGTAGAAATTAATATGTCTTGTAGTGCGAACATGTAAATGAAATTAAAATATGAAGTAATTTTTGAAGCTCAAATAGGTATATATGAGGTTAGAGCAAGAAGTAATATTTTAAGAAGATCGTGATGTTATAAGTAAATGCATATGTAAGCTGGGCCACAATTTATGCTGTTGTCGACATAACTCTCAGTTATATACGTTAGCGAAGACTGGACACTTGGGTACAGTCTTCCGTGTGCAGGGTCAATAATCAAGGGTCATGCTCGCTCCGACGCTACGTCTAATAATCAAGGAGTCAGTTACCGTAACATGTTGTGGGAACGACTTTCTATTGAAGGTCATAACGTTCATAAAATATTTTCCATTTACAAACATAGAATTTACTCCAAGTTCGTACAACTTAAAATATATCTTATGTTTTTGCTAGTGATAGATACTTATGTTTTATAATCAACCGATTGTGTTACTAAAAAAAACAAATACCCACAAGAAGTGTGTTATAAATTTATAGAGCGTTTGTAAGAAAAAAAATCTAAACACATGTTACAACTAAATTGTATGTTATTATAATCAGAATGATTATACTAGCGTTTTATAGTTCAGTCATAACAATAACATTTAGTTACGCTACCAAACGATTCTCTCCAACGTGGCCATTATACAATAAAGCTATTTGATTTGTTAATAGAGCCGAGTGGATCCTGCCACCACATTCGTCTAACGACGCACTTCCTTCACCATCAATTCTATTACGTTACGTACAGCATCCTCATCTACAAACTCATGAGAAAATTCTCCAGAACAAGTTGGAATTTTGTTTTAATCTTACTATCGGAGGTAGATTCAATAAAAACATGTTTCTAATCCTGGATTAAATTAATCTTCGGTATCAGAGTTCGCCAACGAAACACTAGTGGTGTTTACAACAAGTGTCACGTTCGCTGTACAAGCGATACAAAGTTGCAATCAACAACTGAGCAAATAACCGTGACATAAGACACCTTTCATCTAGTTTCATTCGCTTGTAATACGTCAATATTCATATATCGTGATTAAAATGTATCGTGAGATATATTTACATATCTAATTGTAGTTCAAATGGCTCAAACAGACGTATGTTGCGCGGCGATAACAGGCCACATGATCGCAATAAACCTAATAGAAAATCAAGGTAAACAAATGCACCTGCACTCGTAGAATTTTCAGCGTTTCACTGTTATTTTGGACAGTTTATCCGACTGGTAATCGACTGCGACTTTAGCACGGGTTCGTGTTTTATTTATTTTTATTGTCGAACTTTGTTTATGATCGCGTATTCGCGTACTCGCGATACCGGCTTCGGAGTGCAAACGATACGGGCACTTCGACTGACACTCGGCGACTGACTGGCGTTCGGCGCGGCCGCCGGACCAGTTATTATGCTGTGTTGCTGACGATAACTTGAGCAACACGTGGGCCCCGGTATGTGCTATGTGCGATATCACACGGCGCGGCGCAGGATACGCAGCTTATCGGTGCATCGACGGTAAAAGCTCGTGATTCATCAAAATTAGGTTTCGCGAGTGACATCATCCACGCGTTATGCGCTCGATGTAAACACGAGACGTTGCTGCCGCGAGCTCTCACAATAACCAATTTAAATTTCATTCTCGCGAAGTAATAATCGTAACCATGATATGATCATATCGCTACTTAATCCAAGGTTGAATTGAATAGTCTGATCAGGTCATGTAAATAAAGGATGAGAGGGAGGGAGGAGGGAGAGGAAAATGTTTATTTTAAGATATAATTGCATGTGTTGCTGTTGTGTATGGAAAAGAACATGACGCGATCTTTTTTTTACTTTTTAATTAAGTTATTTATCAGGTGTAAACGGACTGATGTTTGTTATCCTGCATAATTTATTTATTATTGTGTTCTTTTTGTTTTTATTTTGTTAACTTTTGTGTTTATTTAACAATCGTTGTTTTTGAATGAAATAAAAGGGATCTCAACACGGTTTTAAAATATTTCAACAATTCATTATTAGATGCCCCGAGTATATAATTTAATATTTTTCTTCTGATTTTATAATTTTTATTTTGTATAACATTGCTTGTCAAAATGTTTTCATATGCCTGGGAACAATTATATGGAAACCTACAAAGTCATTCAGGCGGACAAATATGGTGTTAGTGTCGCTGTGGTTTAGTTAAGCCGATACGGAGTTACCGCGAAAGATGTTACATAAGGTTTCCCCCACATTACTCAATTCTTATTGAAATGTTAAAATTAACGACAGTGATGACAATTTCCTCTGAATAACATAGTAAATAGCTCAAACATCAACACACAATTTATAAATTGTAATAAATTAATTCCATTCAATTCATCAGTGATAAATGTTTATATTTAAGAATTAAATACTTGTTCAAAAACTGTATGTTTACTGTATTTACACATTGTTTGTTTGTGTACATGTTTCGCTTAACAAATATTCAAAACCAGCATCAATCTATTACTCCCCGCTGCATCTCGTCAGCTACAACATTAAGCCGCTGATATATTGCGCAGGTGCAGCGCATTCGACATCTCTGTCTATGCCATTTATAGAACTACATACTCATAGTATAATTAATCGTAGCCCAATTTGTCTGGTGATTGATATCCACGCCTGCTCAAGTAGACGTAACAAATAGCCTACGAAACTGTGTACACTTCAAAGCAAAAACTTTACTTTAAAAATTCCAAATATGTAAAAAAATTTAATCCTTCTTCATATTTGCGCGAGTATACGATGTTGATAATGCTAGTTTCACACGAGGGGAGCACAGTAAACAGTGCAGTACTAATATTGTTTGAACTTATATTTGCTGTCAAAACAGTACTGTTTTATCTCGTCCAATGCGTTCAAATGAAGCAGTACTGTTCTACCTCACTGTGCTACCCACGTGTGAAACTAGCGATACTGGGAAAATTCCGTGTTGATCTATAAATTGTAATGAGTTAAGAACGCGCACAGATGCACAAATGGTATGTTTTTAATTAATTTTTCCGGTGTGTGCGCGGCACCCACGCTCTGTTTGTGAATACCTCTAAGTGTTATCTAAGTGGGCCGACCTCACTTGTTGCAATGTTTTCTTTTTGCTAGTGCATACAGGCAAAGACGATCATCGAGACGCATTCCAGCACTATAGACTAAACCTTCCGAGTTCTGTTTGTATTCCACATTTTTTCACCTTTGTTATTTTTTTTGTATAGTAAAGTATACAAACAAAAAAAAATAAAGTCCAGAAACAAACATGGAAAATGGCATCTTGTAAATCCTACCCGTATAAATGACGTATCTCTTAACAGATTGTTTAGGAAATGAAAAGAATTTGTTATCAAAAATTAACTTATCATGCATATAAAAATATTTGTATCACAAATACCACACTACCGTATACTGTACAAACATCAATACGAATAATTCAACAAGCGGGTGTATGAACTCGGAACACTGGCGCCATTTCTGATATCTCATTACTGGTAATCGAAAACCGATAGAAAATGCAAACAGCACCGAGGTGTTAATAACTCGATACATCACCAACCTTGGGTAAGGTCAATAGCACTCTCTGACCACAAATCGATTCTAAAAGAAGCCCACTAGATTAGATACAAACACCAACTAATCGTAACAATACGCATGTAACTACGATGAATTTATATGCAGTGTAGATAACATCAAAGGCGGTCATTACGGTGATAAATGACGATTGTCTTGTCGGTACATAGAGAATATATGCTTCAGTCTACTCGTGCAATATTATTTCTCGCTTATTATAATCATTAACAGCCATTGTCGGCGGATAGACGAGATATTTGAATTGAATGCCACCGTCGCCGTCGCCGACACAAAGTTATCTCGCCGATCGATCGCCAGATAGCGTTACTAGATATCAGTAAAATTATTGCGCTGACCTATTCGATGGCTAAAAATGTCGTAAATTTTATTTTATTAAAATATATGATGAAATGAGAACAATGGTGATAAAATGACAGTAGTCGGAATAAAAACTGTGTTCAGTGTCACACGGAATGAAGACAAAAGGTTTCAAAATAATATCGGCATTATTTGAGTAAAAATAGCATTATAAACCATTACTATTGTAGATATCTTAATCTAAATTAACTATTTTTCTATCGATCTGAATTATTATTGGCTTGCAAATAATCTTCGTAAGGTTTTGTAGACAGAACAGACATTAAAAATTGGCAAATTTTAAACATGTGACTCCATTGGCTAATTAAAATCCTAAAATGAAAATTACTCATGCAAAGCTTAATACTAAGTATTGTAATGTTTAAAGAAAAATTGATAATAGTGTACGCAGCAATGTTAAATCACTACAGGACGCTTGTGACAGACGGACCATAAATAGTAATACACACAGCGGCGACAGTTCGTCTTACGTCATAGTTGACAGTACCATGGAACCCTTGGTCATCAGCCGCCCACTACGCCCCCACTGTGTTAGCCAAGTATTATGCGGATGTTACTCTTGATTGACAGTATATTAATTGCACAGTATGTGATAATTTCCACTATCGAAAATCTTGTTTGTCTTTTTAGTTTAAGAACTAAAAGGGATGTTAATATGTTTTTTTATAAGTGTTCGATAGTGGAACTTCAAGTTAAGCGATCGTCCTTTGTTCACGTATAGGAAATTCACAGTGGAAATGTAAGATTAAAATGGAATACTATATTATGATTTAGTATTTAAAAAAAAAGCTATTGATTTACCTATTACTATTGTTTATTTTTAAAATTAATTAAATTAAATACTAATCGATGTAATAAATATAATGAAAAAGTTACGAAACTTGAACTTGTCACGTTCTTATCGCCAATATAGATTATCATTTCCATGATTATCTTTTTATATAATTATATTAAATAGATATCATCAATTATATTATTATTGTGTTCATAAAATCTTCATTTTCTCTTATAAACCGATTACCACAAAAACCTTTTTTGTGTTTTTTTGCAAATTGTAGGGAAACGTTAAAACGTCATCAGTGCGTTAATATATTTCCAGTATAAAACACGAGTAGTAGCTTCACAAAATTTTTATTACCTACACAAAAAACTGTTTTCTTATCTAAAAGCAGTAGAAACGTTTGGATATTGAAACGCGTGTTATGGTTTATAATACGCGTTTTAGGAATAACAACATAAACGTGTACAATGGTACTTGAGGCTATAGTAAACGCATATTGTAAGCAGCGTTATATTTCGCATGAGATTATGAAATTTGAGTGAAAAGAAGGCGGTGATAATTGAAGACTTATTTACACATTCCTGCAGTGTAAACAATAGTGAGTACGAACGTACGCGACTGTTGCTTTGAATTTTTTTACGTGTAAGCATTTGTTCTAAGTGTACAGTTTCGCTTACTTCGTACTTACTGTGGACTTTGTCATTTGCCACATGTTGTTGTTTATACTAAAGACTAGCTGTTCCTATGCGGCTCCATTCGTATGTAATTATAAATACTTTATTTTATTGTTTACATCAGTCAAATTCTCAATTGCAAATGTCAAAATTCAAATTCACTATTGAAAACGATGTCAATTTTGCTTCCATGATGTTGGCAAGTTGTAGTTTATGGTCCCTTTACCACATGGAGGTTTTTTTTCTATTTATTTATCCCTTAAGTTTAGGAGCGTGATAATATGCAGCCTAAAGCGTATCGTAAGTATAGGGTTTTTGTTATTAAAGAAAGAATTATTCAAAAATATGCTGTGATTGCCGACATCATACGCCACAAAGTAATGTGTGTTTACGCTTTATTATATTAGTATAGATATATTAACACTGGCTTAAATAATTACTCATGACATTTAAAGTTTAAGGCATTACGCGGAATAACAATACGGAGAAAAGAATAATGATGGCTAGAATTTGTTGCTTATATTACGATATACTAATTGAATTTTTACTTGTTACGTGACGTAACTTTGTACAATTAAAACGTGCACCAAATTAGTCCAATCTAACACAATCTTTTATCAGTTCCCTGCTGAAAGTAGGCCTTCCCGGTATAATCTATGACGCGGTTACAATGTGCAATCTATTTACGTTGATGTTTACGTCACAGTGTTACACAACATCTGTGCAATATGTGCGTATATTAGGGACATAGGTGACGTGTGTAAAAAATGAGTAAATATCTCCCAATTGGTAAAATAAATCGCTCATAGAGAACTTCCAAGATAAAACGAGAATGTAACTAGCTCTAATAAGTTAAAATGGATTTTATGGAATAAAATAATATTACCTATTAACTTCTATTCTATATATGACGGAATGAAGGGAATAATGACGTATATAGTTCTAACAAATGACAGATAAACTCTGCTTGTACTGTAATCGAGGTTTAGGCTAAGCTTCAACTGTACTCGGACACCTCAAGTCTAATGAATCTGTAAATGCCTCTTAAAGGGCAAACAATGGCAAGTCAGTCACAAAAAAAAAGATTTTACCCTAAAGTACCACAAACGTATCTGGCCCGTTATAAGATACGCTGTTATCTCAGTTGGTTTGTCAGAAATTAAATTGCAAAGGCATGGAAAATGGCTACTACGAGTATAGTAAAGGTTAGTGTCATTATAAACGAACAATAATAATTTCATTGGAACAGGAAGTATTAAAAAACAAAATGATCGACCGGTAATTTAAATCAACATCCGACATAAGAATAGAGATGGGAGAGTGTTAAGATATTTTTCAAGGAAGTTATTTTTTTATGTTTGAAATTTTTACCTTCTAGCAATTGTTTATCAAACACCATTATCTTAATTAAAACATTTCCATTAATCTTATGTACCTTAATTTGTTAATGAAATATGTGTATAGTTTGATAATTACGCAAACTTATTCGTTGTATAAGATTACATATATGTTTACACTCTTATCTATAAGTCACTTTGGTTACTAAAGTGTGAAAACAACATCACTCAGTTGATAAATCATACTTCATACAAAAAATTATAATATAAATGCGAAAGTTTAGGTAAATGGATATTTGTTAGAGTTTATAGCCTAAAAGGTCGAACGGATTTCGAAGTAATTTGGTATGGATTGTAGAGATTAGTCTGGAAGAACACATAGGCTACTTTTGTTTTTATTAATTCCACGCGGACGGAGTCGCGGGCGAAAGCTACTTTTATAAAAAATATGTTTAAAGTGACATCTCTAACTACCTATTAATTATAACTTTGACTACAGAAGCTTTTAAAGCAAGACAAAAAGCTTCGTTCACCTTAATTAGGTCTCAAGTGATCTTCTTTAGCTGTAAAAAATAACACCATTTTTTTAGTTTTAAATTAAAAAGAGATTTAATGGATAATTTATTCTACGTACCTTCTTGAATTATAATCAAAGAGTTTATTAAAATGTTTTAAATCAGTCGATAGTAAAAAATAATTTTATTAACAGTCTCATGAGTAAACAGATACCAACATTCTGTTTAATCAAATTATTCACGCTTCACTTTCAAAGCTTTGCGGAGTACATTTTGTAAAATGTTTTTAAAATTTAAATGTTTTACCGAGTTTAACATTTGCATTTAATAGCCCTGGAATTTGTATACTTTTAAAACTGAATAATGATTTTTCATATGACACAAATCATACTAATATTATAAATGCGAAACTTTAGATGTATGGATGTTTGTTAGAGTTTGCAGCCTAAACAGCTGAACGGATTTCGATGAAATTTGGTGTAGATGTAAAGAATAGTCTAGAAGAATACATAGTCTACTCACTTTTGATTTTTTTTAATTCAACGCGGATGAAATCGCGGGCGAAAGTTTGTGTGACATAATTCTATAGATAAAATTATACAAAACTGTTTTCTGGTCTTTTTGTATAACAATTGCCGTTGGTTTCCACTGGCAAATAATGTGCATGTACAAGCCAGTTTCATTCTCTTTATAAAAAGATTTCTTCTTCTATATTTTTTGTTCACATGTATTATTTTAATTTTAGATTTCAACTTTGTTGGTTCAACATTAAAATAATTTGTAATATTACAAAGAGTACTTATAAATGGATTTTAATTATTCGAGGTGCGTATTTTCAATGTTAATGTTTTTATGGTAATTACGTCTTTCTTAACAATGAGGTAATCTCAAAGATCCTTTAAGTTTTTAGCCGTGTTATGATGCAATCATCGGTATTAGGTAATGACTGAATTCATAGCCTTATTATAAGCTAATATGTTTATAAATTGCCAAAAAATGTACATTGTATGAAAACAAAGAAATAAATTAATAAGTTTTTAATAATATACGTTTGCAGCAATATTTTAATTGGCATTTAACTCAATAAACTTCGAATTACTGCATTGTAATTAATTAGTTGTTACTCGCGACTGCATCCCGGTGAAATTAAAAAAATTGTAAAAAATCATAACTTATGTTACTCACAGCTAAACTACCTTTTTAATAGTGAAAGAATTATTAAAATCGGCGAAGTAGTAGTGATATTAATACATGCAAAAATAAAAAAAAAATCAATATGAGGATAGTTTTAGCAAATGTTTTTATCGGTAATCAAATTAATAAATATTATTTAGTTATATATATTTTCCAGTACACTAATCGCTGACATCACAATATTTTAAGAATGTAAGATACCGATGCACTCACGTAATCTGTCCACTTTACATAATCATTATCTTCGCACATATTTTTGCAATCTTTATTAATGTTTATCTAAAAGTTATACCAAAAGGAATTTATAAATACTGAATAATCAGCAATTTGTAAACAAATTTATGAAATCAATGCTATAAATGGGTGAAAGAGAAAGTGTTATTGGTTTTATTTGCAATTTAATCTAGATCTCTATATTGTATATTTCCTTCTCTACATTTAAATAAGAATGTACTAAGGGACTGCTTTTACGACAAAATCACTCTGAGTGCACAAAGAGCGTAACGGTTAAACGCCAACAGTCTTTTAGTTAAGATTGTGTTCCAGGATTCGAATCCAGCCATTCAAATGTCGTGAACAAGTTCTAGTACAAGTTAAAGCTTATTTGTAATGGTACAAGAAATCTTAGCAAATAACAAAACAGAGAAGGCAACTACTAAAAGACTTGCCTTCTCCGTTTTTAGCGCCTTTATAACATCGAATGTAGTTTGATATTTCAATCAATCAACAATCGTGAATAAATAAGTTAAACAAATGCATCAATATTTATATCCTGCGAATAATTAAGATTTATATCGACTACAAACTAAGTAAAACGAATACGAACCAGCGCCGTATGATTATCGAATATCAAACCGATGATTATAATAATCGTTCACAGGCAACGTTATACCCTTCGTGAATAGATTTTGTACTATTATATTGTTCACATAATAATTACCATCAATTCTCGTTTGAATTCTAATAATACGAAACTGGCAATTATAGTGATGTTTTTTAATTGTTATCTGGAATTGTTAAAGAAAATTTGACACGTAGTTATTGAAACGGATTAAAGTATGAAAAAGCTTTATGTGTTAAATTCTATATGATTATAATAATTCAATAAAAAATTAAGTTGTGTTTAGTTATCTAAGTATAACCTTTTTTCCAAACTAGTCTTCGTTGTTTTAATCTTCAATCTCATAAAGGAATCGAGTACGACTATAATATGGAAAAATATGTTGTTTCTGTTTTTAATAACCTATGACGCTGTACAACCTTCACATAATAAAACAATTAAATTACCAAACGATGTTTACAAATTTGGAAACCGTTGATAGTCATGTTAAACGTTTTGACATATTACTAACGAACTGACTCACTATCACTAATCATTTTCGTCTATAATATGCTGATTTATTTGTATTCAATCTTAATGATTACTATAATAAACATATCTTATTTAACTTTATTACTTGACATATGTAATTTGTTAATATCGCTGTGATGGGTAAAATCTACTACTTCATAAATAAATAAAACATAAGTAACTAACTTATACAAACATTGACTCAATTTCTCGAAAGCAGAATAAAGTCTATAACCTCGTATTATATGAAAGATCACCAGTTTAAAAATGTAATCATTTAATATAACTGACTTTTAAAATCAAAATTGTATTTTTTAATTGACAGATGGTGTGATATGCGTTGTAAGGTTTTGATTCAAGTGTCATTGTTTGTTGAAGGTGACGGCGCCCAAGTTCCCGGTGGTGATCAAGATCGGACACGCGCACAGCGGCGTGGCCAAGGTGAAAGTGGACTCTTTGACCGACTTCCAGGTAAACCCTGTCATTTATAACTTTAAGAGACAGGACCCGTGAAGCGCGCATGCCCCTCTATCAAATAAAAATGAATAAACAGTTCTAAACTTGCTTGTTTTGTGTGTAGACATTTTTGAGTCAGTATGCGTTGAAAATATCTGATTGTCATCTTCACTTGCAAAATGGTAGAATTTGTTTTACTGCAACGCCGGCACTTTTTCTAGTCCGTTTCTTTGTAGTCAAAGACTGTCCAATGCAGACCATTGCAACGCTATAAACTGTATAATTTTAGCCTTTACCAGATTATACGCAGATTTAAATGCTAATGGAACTGTGTACTATCAAGTTCAAGTCGTAAATTCAAGACGTCATTTATTTTTCACTTATAAATAACTTCAGATTTGGATAAAGTGACGAACAGTTTTAATTAAATCGCTGATGCGTTTTATTTTCTTTTTGTTCAACACGCAAGTTATTATAGGCCTACGCAATTTTTAGCTTCGTCAGTGTTTAAAATACGGCTACAATGACATTGCTAAAATAAATAAAAGAATTTTACATACATACTAGCTTTCGTCCCCAACTACATCAGCGTGGATTAAAAATAAACAAAAGTGAGTAGCCTATGTGTTCTTCCAGATTATCCTCTACATCTATACCAAATTTCATCGAAATCCATTCAGCCGTTTAGGCTACAAACTCTAACAAACATTCATCCATCTAAACTTCCGCATTTATAATATTAGTAAGAAGTAAGATGTAAATAACAAATTTTTACATTACTGGTCTATATAACGTTAGTAATTAAATTGTTTTATTCAAATTTAAGTAAAAATTTATTTGTAAAGCAATAAACACTGTTAATTATAGCATAAACGTAATAATAACTTGTAAAATCTAATAATAATCAAAAGCCGAGCAGGTATACAATTAAGACCCTATACATAAAATTTTAATGAATTTACATAATTTATTACGTCATGTTTAATTTAAGATAACATTATTCTAATAATTGTTGTAAAATGTACACTAACATTATATTCAATTTTAGTAAATTTTTACTATTGATTGTAAGAAAGCATCGACAATTTGTTGTTGTAGATTTTATTAAAGACTAGCTGTTCCCGTGCGGCTTCATCCGCATGAAATTATTTTATTTACATGTGTCAAATAATCAATTGCAAATGTCAAAATGACATGACATGATGTCAACCTTGCTTCCTTGATGTTGGCAGCAACTTATGGTCTCTTTCCCACATTAGGGTTTTTATCCAAAATATTTACCCTATAAGATTAATGGCGTGAAAATATATAGCCTAAAGCGTGACGTAAATTTAAGGCTTTTTATTAAAAAATGAATTATTCAAAAATATGCTGTAATTGCTGACATCTTAGGCAACAAAGAAGTGTGTGTTTACGCTTTCTTATAATAGTATACATTTTATAACATTAAAAAATATTGTTTGTAGGACATCGCGGGCGTAGTTGCAATGTTGGGCACTTACTGCACCGTGGAGCCGTACATCGACGCCAAATACGACATTCATATACAAAAAATTGGCACCAACTACAAAGCTTTCATGTAAGTTGTACATAAACGTTATAGTTATGCTGAAATTCGATCAGTTATGTGTCATCTATATAAAGAAAATTCCAGGGAATATCCAGAATCATTCGAAATGAATGAACGGTTTGTAAATGCATGAGTATTGCACAAGTAAAATTAGCTTTCGGTACTGGGAAAACGCCAAAATGTCGAATATAAATTGTGGAAGTTTGCAGTTGATATCCGGAGCCAATCTTGTTTACTGAACGCCTACAGCTTTCCGTTTGGACCGTATCGAACTAATTCAAGCAACAATTACCATAAATCGTCAGGCGTTGAGTAACTGCCGTCCACCTGTAATAATGTTGATGTTTTGAATAGCGGTTTCAATTCAGAATCACTTCATTGAGTAAAATTAAATTGTAGATGTAAATGCATCATAACTTTGCTAAAATAGCCATCGAAAATTCTCCTATTTTAAAAAAGCTGAAAGCAAATTATTCTAATGATTTATATATACATAACTTCATTTAAATTTTTATTATCAAGAACAAAGCAAATGTTTTATTTTACCTTCTATCCTACTTTTTAAAAACATGAATAATATGAATGCCATCGAATTTATTCTCTTGATTGAAGTGTAATTGCAGTGGAATCCCACGTTTAGATACAACTATCTAAACGGTAGTGAGGTTTGATAATAATCTATCGATTTTTATTAAAGTTGATAAGATTTTTATCTATCCTATCGTAATTAATCTCTTTATTTAATAACCTTCATAATTTCAGGCGCAAATCTATATCTGGCAATTGGAAAACCAATCAAGGCTCAGCCATGCTTGAAGCGATTGGAATGAACGATAGATATAAAATGTGGATAGACGAGGTATGTGTCACATTTTCTTTCCTAGAAAACAACAATAAAATCGCTACGTTAAGCTTGTTCAATAAACATGAGTAAAGAAACAAAGATGCGGTAGAAAATTTTCCTCAAACAATACACAAGAAAATTTCTAATGAAGTAACAACATAGATAATCTAAATAATTAAAATTTTCTTTAACAGTATAATATTCACTACAATCTTTAAAATACATGAATTCTTTTGTAGTATGTAGTTAAACTATAATAATATGGTATTATTAAGGTGAGCGAGATATTTGGTGGACTGGAGGTTTGCGCGCTGGAATTGGTAGTTGGCAAGGATGGTCGTGAACACATCATTGAGCTGAACGACTCCGCTACTTCCTTCATGGGCGACACGCAGGAAGAAGACCGGCGCCACCTGGCGGAGCTCGTGCTGCAACGCATGCAGGTACAAATAATGTTTAACATACAAGTGTCTTTTCCATCCGCGACTGCTATGACCCATCGCGGCGAGTCCCGAGACTATCTAATTTAGTTGAAAAGTAGTATGTAATGTTTATTCTGTTTTAATTTTAATCTCGTTAATATCATAAATTATTTCGATATATATCTATGTTTAATAAATCTTTAAATGTAACATTGGACATTTTGGAAGCTTTTCTTTGAACTGCTGATGTTAAGAAAATACAAGAACTTTGTACGTTTGTCGCAATTGATTGCAGAAAGTATGTAGATGAGCCAAACAATATGACTAAGGATAGATTTCATCAATTTCCTTTCCACGGTCATGAACCTTCAGTTAAATTATTCACATGAAGTGGTTGTCGTCATCTCGCAAGACTGCGATTGACTCAGGCCGTTCAATAGGCGCTACACTGTACTGGGGTGTGCTCGTATGTCTAGGTGCATGACTGCATCGTTTACACAGCTGAATCATCGCTTCATGACGGCGAATGTGCGGGAATTTAACATCAAAAACATTTTTGTTTATAAATTTGTTTTTGCGATGGATATACGGAATGAAAAATTAATATTAAAACAACGTAGAAAGACTTGGTTTATTTTATTAGACTTAACTGCAAGTTATAGCGTCATCGGAATTTATACATTATCCTTCAGACTCGTAACTCAGTTGTTAAGTAGACAGCACATATTGGAGGTCAGTTCCCAAATTATTAAAACAAAAATGACTACATCTCACCTTCAGACTTATTGTGTTTGAATACGAATCATTAAAGTCAACACTTACGTTATCTATCTAAGCTTACTCTCACATTAGGTTGACTAGAAAACAAATGTATTATAGTTTATTCAAAATATGTGTATTTTCCAGGCGGTGTGTCGTCCGGGAATAACGAAGACAGCGTCCCGCAGCTCTGTATCTGGCAGCGGCGCGGCGTCGCCCGAGGAGCGCGGGCCCGGCGCCGTGCCCGGCGGCCCGCCCAGCGCCCCGCCGCCGGCGCCCCTCGCCAGCGGAGCCAGCATTGACCGCCCGTTGCCGCCCATCCCCGCGGAACCCGCGCAGCCGCCGCCGCCCCCGCTCGCACGACGCGACTCGCAAGGTACACTCACGCTCTCCCCACTATATCTAAGGATGGTAGTCCTGGCCAGCAAGTCTTATAGCAGTGTAGAAAAAGGAAAACACAAAAAAGCCTACGTTTAGTAAAATATTTGCAATGTAAGAGACTGTATGGGACAAAAGGTAATGACGTGAGAAAATATATTTTATATTCCAAAAACTCTTTACCCGGAGCCTGCAATGATTACTTTGAATATTTTAAATTGTGTGTGTCATGCTGCCACATATCGCCAGGAATCTCCTATTAGTCATGAATCTTGCTCTTATAATGAAATGTACCTATCTACATTTTCATTTGTTACACACGAGCACCAATACGATTTGCCAAGTGTAGTGACTAACATAGTATTAGTATGAATATTTAAAGATGTATAAATTATTGAACGAATATCAAGTACGCTCCGAAATATCAAGCTGGTATTTCTCAAACATTAATTTGCATTGATCAGTAAAGTAGTGACAGAAAGAAATATTTCAGGATATTTCCAAATGAAAATGGTCTGAAATTGAGCTTTTATTTTGCAGCATCTCAATCATCTACGGTATCATCGGCGTCGGCGGCTCCGAGCACCGCCAGCGGAAGCGCGCCGGGCGCAGCGCCTCCCGCTGCGGGCTCCGCTGGCGGCCGCGGCGGCTTCGCCCGCCAGGGCTCCCTCAGCGCCGCGCTCACCGAGGACGCAGAAGACACCATGAAGAACCTCAGGAAAACATTCGCCGGCATATTCGGCGATATGTAAACTCTACAAAAATCCCAGAGTGTATTACTAAAAATTCCCACTTTATAATATCAGGTCCGGACTATGTATTTTAATGTAGATTGATTTTTAATAAAAATTACATTATTTTTCCTTTGATATTGATAAAATAAGGACATTAATGTTCATTGGATATCTAGAATACTCAATTTCATTTTAATCAGTTTCATGTTAAGTCCGGCCCTAAACTTTTCTAAAATAATATAATATTAAACGTCCGATGTCGAACACTTAACAGTATCTTCGGTACACTAATTGTTGCATAATGTTTAATTCAAAGTATCATCTTTTTCATAGATTTCAACTTAGTAACTACATAACAGTACTATCTTAAAGATTGCATAAAGAATACATCTAAATAATAACTTTGTTTAATCTATATTGGCACCGGTGAGAAAATACGAAATAATAGTTTTAAATGTATGATAACGTTAGATTTTTACAGTAAGTTTGTAATAAAAAATAATCAACTGAGCTGCATTGTGATCGAACTGTTCGGTATCCGGTGCCGTGCCGTACCGTACCGTGTCGTACGGTAGCGCCGTGCCGTAGCGCGCCGTGCTGTGCCATAAAGTACCGTACTATGCGGTAGCGCCGTGCCGTAGCGCGCCGTGCTGTGCCGTGACGTACCGTGCTATGCGGTAGCGCCGTGCCGTAGCGAGCCGTGCCGTGCCGTGACGCACATAGTTTCTCTATCACTGTCTCCAACTCTTGGACACGTTTCTTCAGCCGCCGTGACTTCGTAGAGTAGCGGCGGCTTCGCTAGCACAATCTGTACCTTCATTGTTATGAAACATGTTATATTGTAATGCTAAGTATCATATATCTATTACATATGCGCATTTAAACGCTGTGTGTACTCCAGGTAAACCTTTCCTCATAGAAATCTTTGTTATTATCATATGCATTTCAGTATATTGTTACTCATTAAAAATAGTATTAAAATTCGCTAAAAAACAGTACTTCAGTATTATAATAATACATTATCACTTTAAAGTACAATTCATTTTTCTATTGTTCAAAGATTTGGTGAAACAAATCCAAGAATTTTTAAATTTTTACTTAATGTTAAATAATGTAAGATCATATCATTATTAATTAATATAATTTTGACGTATACGGTTGGGCCAAGAATGTAGGAAATGGAAAACATCTGGATGGGAACAAAATAGAAAAGAAAAAGTTAACATCAAGTTAGGCCTAACTTTAATGTAGTTTAATTTACATGAGTTTAATGCATTTAATCATTGACCATTAAAATTGAAGGTAATTTTAAGGTTATTGAATATTTAAACCAAAGAGTGTAGATCTCTGACATGAAAGAACACATCGGTAGTTAGGCAGGAAATGGCGTGAGCAATTTTACAATGGACAATATTGTTAGAAGCAAGTATAACCCACATTTTATATAATCTTATAGTTAATCTCGTAATTTTAAGAACTATTTAGATTGTTATTCATGGCATCGTTTTAATTGGTTTTACTATGTATCTGCTTAATGTAAATCTCCTACAGCAATGTGTAACACTTCGAAAACTATAAAAAAAAACGAACTGTCAACTTATCGCATTAAAATAAAATAAACTTCATTCACATTCCACAAACAATAACGAAAACAGATAAGGTCCGGTCGCTGGAGATCAGGGCGACATAACCTCCCCTTATGTCTATTTGAAATAAGACCGTACATTCATTTTATCCTCTTCTTAGACCTAGTTCATTGGCTGGCAACTCCCACGTAAACATTATTGCAGATACATTCGTAAAATTTTAAATAATTTAATCCATTATGCTTAAAGAGTTTGCGAAGTAGTAATGTTCGATTTAAGCGTTGTTACCTATTTATTCTTCATGCGCTTCTCTACGTATTATAAAATTTAATCTTTCATACATCCTACTATATATTAATCTTGTAGTGTTATCGAATAATTCATATTGTATTTAATAAGTAATACCAATAATATTGAGATGTTTTCATGTTAAACATATATTATTTCCCATGTGTATGGCACGATTTCTATAACAATTGTTATTGTAGATTTTACAACGAAATATACGTGTGTTAATAGATCAATAAAACATAGAATAATAAAAGTTAATAATTATATTACATAGAAATATTACCCTAATATTACCGAAGTATGTTATGGGATTGAGTTTTTATATTTCTATTTATGACATACGACCAAACCTAATAATCAATCCCTGATATTATGCAAACTAAGAATATTTTAAACACTACATAAGGATAAAATACGAAAAGAGTACATTAGTGGAAGTTTGAGAATAGCCCCAAAGGTTGAGAAATTAAGGAGTAAAAGGTTAGCGTGGTATGGGTATGCTATGCGGAGGGTTGAATCATGTAACAAGAAGAAAGTTATGGTAGTTATGAATGTGGAGGTACACCGGTAGTGGTAGACCTAGAAAGAGGTGGATTGAGGGAAAGGTGACATGATCAAGAAGGGAGTGCTAACAGATGACGGATCATAGAGTTATTTGGAGGAAACCCGGATGCGCATATCGTGCGGGAGTAGGATAAGGTGGGGGAGATGATGAAGATGATGATGACTTCGAATGGCAAGAGTGACAAAGACGTATTCGTCGTCCTCTAAACAGAGTTTTATATTACCGTCGAGAAAGAATGAAATGGTGTTAAAACATTATTTTATATAAGTCAAAAAGGTTTTCGATTATTGGGTTTGGACGTTAAATGGACATATGAACTGGACAAATTAGTATTTAGTATATAAATGCACTTTTAGCTAGTTTTCGACACAAACCCGTAGATTTGAATAATTAGGGAATTGTTTAAATTTATGTAAATGTATGAGTTTTGTTGAGGGTTATTTAGTTTTTGTTAAATATATTTGTTTTTATTCTATTATGTGTTAAATGTTAGAATAATTATACACGTAAACATTAATTATAAAAGCTGTTGTTGTTGTTGCTACGAGTTATACAAATGTAATCATAGATAATATTGCTGATTGAATCGCGATAAAATCGGTGGTTTATTAATCGGTTTTCATTAGAGAGACAAAACAAAATACATTGTTTTTGTAATTGAACAACAGTAAGGGTTTGTTCATAAGATAGGTGCGTAGAGATGAGCAGATAACTATAGCAAATAACATTTATACGATTGAAACAAAGTTTTGTTTTACTATAGATGTGTTTTTATGCTTGACTTTGATAAGAAAAGATATATAAAGTAAAATGAAACCCAGTGATTCATCGTATAAAGCTTAAATTTATTTGCGATGAAATAAACGGCTCTACTCTTCGACCCTGTCAGTCTGAAAGGACCCTTATATGTTTCCTACAGGTATTATCGCAGTGGAAACCGACAGTAAAACAGAAAAGCCCCGATTATCGCGATCAATACTTTAAACACATACTCATATTCAATACATTGTGTGTCACGTTTAAAATAAATAGTTCCAAAAATCGTTCATAACATATTAAAGATCTATTCTGGTTTGGTAATTATTGTTACGCCTTAAGTTTTCACGATTTATGTTACAAAATATTTCTACTTACTGCTTAACTGTTGACTTTTTTTTAATTATATTATTTAAACTATATTCATAAACGTGGCGCACGTGTTCGTTCCAATGTACTGTTTTAATGGAATTTGAATGCATGTTAATCTATATAATAAATACCTCTTTTGGTAAGTCAATAATAATCATGGCTTTTTATTTTCATTATGTAAAATAAGAAATACTACCAAAATAACCGAAACAAATGAAACAATAACTACAATTTCAATACTTTATTCAAACGGAAGTATAATTTTCTGAAGTTCAGTCAATAATTAAACCAATTTATAACAAATTTTCAGCAACAAATTTTATCCAAACTGTAGTATAATATTCTAAACATTAGTTAAATATAGGCTAATATTAAAACAATGTCAATTATGTTAAAAAGTTTAACAGCGTTACAAATATTTGTTTTTTACGGGTACCCTACAGGATCCATTCCAGTATTGAGACTGTAGTTGCGGTACATACCGGCGGCTGTGAGATGGTTCGTAAACTTCTGACCAGCGGGGTAGAACACCGAAGTCACTGAGTGTATTCCTGTAAGTCATTCAATATAAGATATAACACCTGTCTTGTTAGAATAGGATAATCGACAAATTCCCAACAAAAAGAAAAACCTCATGAAATATTGACGTCATCATGTGTAGAATTTCTCGGGAAAACTTTAGTGAATAGATTTTTTTACAGACTTGTATTTAGACTATTAGAAATCATTTATATTCATCTATACTAATATAATAAATCGTAAACACACACTACTTTGTGGCGTAGAATGTCAGCAATCACACCATATGTTTGAATAACTCTTTCTTTAATAAAAAGCCCTACAATTGCGACACGCTTTAGGCTATATATTTTTACGCTATTAAACTTGGGGATAAATAAATTGGAAAAACATTATTGTCTGAAAGGACATAAACTAATAAGCTGCAAACATAAGGGGAGTAAGGTTGCCATGGTTCGTCGTCATGTCATTTTGACATTTGCAATAGATATTTTGACACATGTAACCAATAAAATTAAAATTTTCATAGTTTTGTGCGGATGAATTCGCATGGGAACAGCTAGTGATAAAATAAAACTCATCACTCGGTATTTAAAACTTTATTTATTTCGTAACTTATTTGACAAATAATATGACATGATTAATACTAATTTTGTCTACAATAACAAGTCGTTGCCGAAAACGTGCTCGTTACTTTATGACAAAAATAACATAAAATTAAAGTACAATCTTACATAGAAAATAAAACTTAAAATAAAATATTCTTAATACGATTTAAATAAAAGTAAAGTGACATTCAAGATTTATGTCGGCTTTTAATTTCACACGAGTTTCGTGCAGAACACAGTTTTACGAGTATGTATCGGTGTACGTCCGTAAAGGGTGGGTCACACTTCTGCGCACCATTTTCTGTTCTAACTGTTACTCCATCAGCCGTCGATTCGTAACTACATGCCGCTATAAAGTTTGAATCGTATCGTCTTCAATCAAATTATTAATAAATTTATTCACATATTCAGAGAATAGTTTCGATACATTCCAGAGACAGCCATAATGTTAGAGAAGTCCTGACTCTTCGGGAAGTAAGATGCGGGCACGGAGTGGATACCTAGAACAGGTTATTACAGCATTTGTGGTACTTCAGGTTTCCAGCGATCACATTTTACAAACACAATACACACTTTAAAAAAAAAACCAAAAATAATAATAATTAGAAAGTTTTCATCCAAGTATTTTACAGAAATTCATAGTTATGTTTCCGATTCGATAAATAATAAACAAAATGAACGAACTTGTCTTATTAAAGAGCTTTTTTCTGCAATTTAACGCGAAAGAATTTATTTGAATATTGAAGTGCTTACCGGGTGGATACCATCCGTATTCACTGGATGTGGTCCGGTACAATGGGTGCTGGTTACTCTTCTGACATCCGTAGCCATTGAACCAATCTGTTAACAATTCAAATAATTTTATATCCGTAAATATAATTTGGTATCTTATATCTTGAAATAAGCAGAATCCAAAGCTAGTCTTTTGAACATTGGATACTTTACATAATTATAAAGTTATAGAAATAAACAAAAAAGGTTTTTAGAGCCTTCTTAGTGCGATAGACTATGATTGTAATTTCGCAACTTCATTGACACTACGAACTCTACTTTTTCACCTTGCGTATGTTGTATACGTATAGCAAAACATTTGCATATATGTGTTAAATTAAGATCGCAAGGTTCTTGTCTAATGGAATTATTACCCTCTACATGCCCCTTCATGTTAGAGGTGTTTATTTTTCTTAATAGGGGGAAATGTCGATGATCCCAACTTATTTACCATTACATGCGGGTAAAACGTATCGATTACATTAAGTTACATTAGTATGCATCACAAGTTATATAACATAAACATCTTTTCCTATTACTTAGGTTTACTTACACTATTATCTAAATTTAAAGCCGCCTAAAAAGTTCCTAAACTATATTAAGTTCCTAGACAACGATGGAGGATCTCTGGAGTATAAGGTGATTTTTTTAGCCTTTTACTTTAAGATTTAAAACACATACTAGATTTTGCCCGCGACTCAATCCGCATGGTATTAAAAAAAAAGTGAGTGACCCATGTGTTTTTCCAGGTTATCCTCTGTATCTATGCAAATTTCATCGCAATCCGTTCAGCCGTTTAGACTACAAGCTCTAACAAACATCCCTCCATCCATCGAACTTTCACATTTAATATTAGTAAGAAGTAAGATTGTACTTACGAGGGTGTTCAAATCTCTTTGGTAGATTACAAGTTGCATACAAATCAGATGTCTTTATTTCAGGCTTCTTAATTTCATTTTGTAAGCAAACTTTGTCGATACACGTCGCCGAACAAAATCCACCTTCCTGTTTATCAGCTATTGCCAAATGCTCACCACCCATTATTAAAGAGATTAAATGAAAAAAATACTACTGTTTTGGTAATCTAGATAGAAAGAATTGTGTTTTATTTAAGTAAATCCTCCAGGGCACTCGTTTGTACAAAAATGTCCGACAAATAATTTTTGTTTCCTTGGCAACGGTTTCAATAGATTTACATTTTTTTTTTAAATTTGATTCTGTTCCAATATACCATGTTGAAACTGTGCAAATACAAATACTTTATTTAAACACAACTGCATAATTAATAAACTTTAAAACGGCGAATTTAAAGAACAATGGAAGATTCCCGAATGCAAATATCAACAGACGCCGTCCAGTAAAATCATGCGATATTCTAGATTTAGCAGAGACATTATTTAGGTTAAAGGAAATAGAAATAAGTGCTGTAGAATTATTTACCATAATTCTGTTTAAAACGAGTTACAGTATCGGAAGCATGGTAGATACTTTGACAACACTTAAGCTTTAAAGATCAACGCACACTAAACTAACTACATTGTTTTTGGCCTCACTAAACCACCACCAATAAAAAAAAAAAACATTTAATCTAATTGAAATAAAAGCTTTTACTAACCTCCTAAGTCCTCGGCCGAATGGAAAACATTTTGGAAAACTTTTACTCTTTAGCGACGGTAAAAGTGCGATTCAATACTCATTCAGTAGAAGTGTTTCTCTTGAAGGCGTTGCTTAGGCCTCATAAGAATATTTACTTATAAAGTCCTAGTCGTCCCCAACTTAATTTCTCTGTATAACAGTCGGTATCATTCTAAGGCATATCTCACGCTAAATTTGAAGGAAATGAGGAGGAAACATATGAAATTGTTGTTGTATATAGATTCCTTCCTCCTTCAAAGTTGACAAAACAAAAGAAAAATGCTAAAAACGAAACGTGTTTTATTACGTGATGATCCTTAATTCATTGAGCATGCATTCGCTGGAATATATTAAAGTGTTATCGGAGCTATCAGGACGAACGACGAGCAGACAATAAACGAGTGGGTGACTATCGCACGCCTTCCTGAACCAACATTACTACAGTTTTTAATTATATTTAACACCGACTTTACGTATTTAATCAACTATTCGTATTTTAATTAAAAATAAATTCTGTCATCTCATTGACAAACGTTATTTGATGTGATCATTTTTTGTAAGTGTCAAAAATACTAATTTAAATTATAACAATAATGAAAACAATTATTATAAATGAACCGATAAACTTAAGAGTGGTGAAATACGAGTTAAATTTTGATTTGTCAAATACTTCGGACACAAACAAGGAAAGGAAAGCGAAGAAACCAAAGGAAATTCGTATACCGAAAATTGAACAGAAAAAACAACACAAGATACCAGCACCTCCTCCAATAAAAAACTCACAACAGGTATTAAAAACTAACTTAACTACACTTTGCACAAAACTGAGTTTTATCGTACTAAATCTAAATTATTCGTTGATAAATCCGAATTCGTTAAAAGAAAACCTTGGCAATGTTTTTGCAACTACCCACACAATATAGTGTGTTTGTTTACACGTGGGAGCTCACCGGCAATTTACCTTGTGGACCAGTTTTATTCTATTGTAGTTCCGTTATACTGGTTTACTTTATTACGAATTGAAACGATTTATCACGATTACGATTCATTTGTGAATTATTTATTTATTACGATTTATCTGTAAACCAAATTGAATTTTGTCTACTTATATGTAACTAAACAACAACTAAAAAGCAGCGTATCCAGTGGTAATAATTTTATATCAATTATAGACACCAGACGTTAAAGAGCTTGTTGAAAAATTACTTGATGAACTGTACACTGATCAACGTGAATGGAGTAGAAATAGCGTCGTGGGATACAGTCAAAGGTAAGATACACTATAATGTGGATTGTGAATGAAAGGAATAACAGTGGAAATCTATGGTTAATTAATTTTCCCGCTAAGAGTACAACGCTACTCGTAAACTGGTACAGCTCCAGTATTGAGATTCCGTAGGGCAACCTTAACCTAATTACGGAAGAATCTTTCAAGTTTACGTTCAATGTCATTGTATTGCGAACTAATCAGAGTTGAATATTTATTAATACGTTTAATTTTTATTTATAACTAGCTGTTCCCAAGCAACTTCATCCGCATGAAATTATGAAAATTTTATATTTTTGTTTACGTTTGTCAAATTATCAATAGCGAATGTCAAAATGACATGACATGACAAACCTTGGCAATCTTGCTTCCTTAATGTTGGCAGCAACTTATGGTCTCTTTCCCACATTAGGGTTTTTATCCAAAATATTTGCCCTCTAAGTTTAATGGCATAAAAATATGTAGCCTAAAGCGTGACGTAAGTGTAGGGCTTTTTATTTAAAAAAAAATATTCAAAAATATGCTGCAATTGCTGACATCTTAGGCAACAAAGAAGTGTGCGTTTACGCTTTATTATAATAGTATAGATATAGATGGAGATGTACTCGTAGATTAATAATATAATGAAACTTTCAGCTTGACTACCGCAGCGTCGATAGCATCATCTCGTTCTAATTGTGATGATCAAACAGATGTGATTGAACGAATTTATCTTGAAGATTTAGGTAACTTAATCATAATACTTATCAAATTAATATTATACTGCAACCTAATATTAACCAGACATCGTAAAGTACAGGTTAAATAATTGTTTGTAACTAATTCATATTATGTTTAGTAATACTGAACAATGTTATAGGTCAATCTAAACTCCCGAATACACGCGTCTTAGAAATGTTGGTCATTTAATAAAGTCATAAAGAGGTTATAATAATTAATATTTGTAGGAAAAGAAGAACTACAAGATCAATTAGATGAGTTGACGAGCAGATTCACCGCAGCCGGAGAGAGATTGGCTAAATATCTACGAGCCCGCGATCGCCTGAAACGGGAACAGAAGAAATTATGTGCAGCGTTTACTGTTCTACTGAGACATATTAGTACGTTATACTTTATTTTCGGTGGTTTCTTCTGCGTCTTTATCAATTTAAAACCGAATACAGATATAGCCTAATTTATTACGTTAATATTAGTCCTAGAAGTTGGTCGTAGTTTGTACCATCTTATAGAAAAACATGGAAACTGAACTAACTATTACACTAACCATAAAATATCCGAATTGTAGTAAATAATTGGTTATGTAATTTTACGATATCAGTAAATTCCAATATTTCGAATTAAATTTAAAATTCAATAAACAAACTACTAAAATCTATCTTAACAACTACAGAAATAGACTCAGTCAATTCTATTCAATGAAACTTAAAATAACATTACGCACATGTAAGTAAGCTTGGGGCTACTTAGCAAGCTATCTATGTCTGAAACTGACGTACACAGGAGCACGAAATCGATATGCGACGCACACTAGCGTCTATAATGAAACCGATGGCGCATGCTCGGACGGCCCTACCATGACACCTTTTACCGGCGCTCGACATCACTCTGGCATCGCTGCTATCCTACCAGCGATTCCGTTTTGAACATCCGTGAGATATTATAATACAGGGTGGCTAGCCCCGGCGCTTCCTTTCGCGACTTCCCCAGTAAACATCACATCAGCTGGTCGAATATGCGGTGTCGAACTTTTTGAAGATATGTACAAAATATATTTTAATTCACGATCTTTTTTCAATGATTTTGTTACATGTTTCATTGACTTAATTGCTTACATCCTAGATGTAACGTCTTCATGGTCACTACATTGTGTGTTTGCCCGCAGTGTGACTGCGTCGAAGTAATGTCAAATCATTAACTAGTGCTTAGTGCAGTACAATATGCATTTATTGTCAAATGTTGTGCTCTCCGTGCTGGACAGATGAGTGCTATCCTAAACTCCCTCAGGAACTTGGCCGGTTCTTCGAGGGCCAATCCAGGTACATTCAGACACAAAAATTTAGTCGGTTGTGGTCATTTGTGGTTTGCCTGCATTGTTATCCTACGAGGACATGATTAGCAGCCATGCCAGAGTAATTTAGTTCCGATATTTGATTTGTATTAGAACTGATTGAGATTTACGGTAAGTAAATTGGATTAAGAAACCCTCGCGGTGATAAATTTAATATAAAAGTTGATCTTGTTTACACAGATGAATGTTGCCGATCAACAATAACCTTTTGTTTGATGTATTTTCGTTTATCCGGGATTTTATTCACGGCAACGTCTTTTACGATACAACTTAGACCTTGGCGTTTTTCTATTTTAATTTTCACGATTATATCTTCTTTTCTTTAACGCTTTAGCAGAAATTGAAAGTAAATATACTTGTTCGGTTTTTCAAATTTTGTTTGTTTATGCTTCACCTAGTATCTTTGGTTGTTAGCTGGGGACGCGAACGCGCGGTTCGGCTTGGCACCGAGTGGCAGCGAGGGCCCCGGCGAGGGGGGGTTTTCGGAATGGCTGCACGCGATGAAACTGGTCGCTCGACTCCCGGCTGGAGTTCCACAGCATTTCCGGAGAAAGGTAAACATATATTATGCTACATTCACAAACAAATAAGCGGAAGAATGTATAGAAGGAAACGGTTTGACTACAAGAAGTACATCATACATAAACATAAAGTATAATAAGTATTTATTTTTCAAATTGCATTTGATATGTCTATATCTATAGCGCTACAACGTCAAACTTTCATCTATGCTAATATTGTAAAGAGGAAAGATTTGTAACTTTGTATGTATTGATAAAACTTAAAAACTAATGGGCCGATTTCAAATTCATTCATCATTAAAAAGCTGCGTTACCATTAAATAACGTAGGCTATATTTTTTAATATATTTTAATTTGACGCAGGCGAAGTCGCTAACTACAGCTAGTGCGTAATAAAATAGATATCGTAGACTGAAATTAGCGTCTATATCGTTTGCGTATCATGTCAATCTATTGTAAGGCCCTGTCTAGGCGACGGCTCGTCGGCTAGCCGCCCACGTAGCTCGTATTAGATCATTATATCGAATATTATCTGAATATGACATGCAAGTGCCATGGTCTGCTTTATCTTTATGCGACGATAGCTTTTGTGGCGCAAGTGTTTCGCATCACCAACCAATGTTACGTCACTTGTGAGTATTAACAAACTAGATAAAGTTTTATCGGAGCGTTTTTAATTTATTTAAATTACATTTCGTCCTCAATCACCGATTAAGTTTTTTTATGGTTGTATCGATTGTCGATCGATGCCAGCTTTAAGTTTTATATTAGAACTAGCTGTTCGCGTGCATCTTCATCCGCATGAAATTATAAATTTATTGTTTACATTTGTCAAATTCTCAATTGCAAATGTAAAAATGCCAATTACCTTACTATGACAATAATGCTTTCTTGATGTTGGCAGCAACTTACGATCTCTTTCCCACATTATGGTTTTTGTCCAAAATATTTACCCCCTAAGTTTAATGGCGTGAAAATATATAGCCTAAATAAGAATTATTCAAAAATATGCTGTAATTGCTGACATCTTAGGCAACAATAGATCAATAAACCGAAAAAATCGTTCGAAAATGTCATCATTTTTGATTCCATTTTATTGCTATATACTTATAACTGGGGTATATATGGAATTACATTACCGTAGTTCTCCACGGTTATAAACTTCAATGGTCAACAACGATGTTTCCCAACTTCAGTCACATTGTATGAAAACTAAAATACCTGTAGTCCTTGAGCTTTGATGCAAATATCAAAGTTGTTTGAGATCAAAGCCCAAGAGAGTTAAAATTAAGATATTTTCCGATTTGTTACTTGTTCGATCTTAAAATGGATATAAACTTGAATTAGACAAAATCACTTTTGGTACATTTGGTTGAGTAGCTAACATGCTCACATTCACATTAAAGAAATTTTTAATTTGCTTATGAATTTCAGTCAGCTTTTAATACTGCTAAAAGATAAATCGTAAAAATATCTTCTGAAACTCTAACAAAGTTATAAACTGCGAGGTTATGCAAAAAGACAAATACAGTTTTGAAGGTAACCGAGACTCTTGCAATCTCTTTATCATAAAAAAATCCGTAAGTAGCGACGACCCTGTTGACCCTCTTGCTCTTAAGAACCATCAAAGAGCTCTTCTTACTTAATTGCCCAAATCAAAACGAATCCATAATCTTGATCACTCGTTATTCTTACGATGAAATATGTTGAATTGATGAAATGAAGCGGGGAACGGGTTGTGATTGCAAGCTATGATGTAGAAAAATGTGGATTTTAGTTCAGAACAAACAATATTTGTATTAATAATTAAGGTAAAGAAGATAAAACTAATTTATATTCTCAAGATTGATGCTTACGTTCATTGTTTTTCTTCTTAAAGTGCCATCTTCTTTCGTACGGCGATCATTAGGGCAACTGCATTAAGCATCGCGGCTCTAAAAAGCGATCGGGTGATCAGTGGTGTTGATGTTGGTATTAACAGCTGTGGCTGACGCTGTCGGAGCGGTACCTGTCGTCGCGGGGAGTGCAGTGGGCAGCTGCAGAGCGCGCCTGCTTTCGCGGGACCGCACAGCCAGATGATACAGAGCTCGGCGCGCAGATCCTCAAGGTGAAACACTTTCTTTAGATTATTGTAATACCATCTATTTTTGCTTTCTTAACTGTCCGTTTTATTACAGGATTTACATCGCACCGGTTGCTCACTTTTCTGTGGCACTGAAGGTCGAGAAAATCAAGCAATGCTTAGAAGAGTTTTATTAGCGTACGCTAGGTAATTCCTGTCTTTGATGTACAATTTTTCTTGTAGATAGATAATTTTGAGGATTTCGGTTTTTAGTGTTTATTGTACTTTTTGTTTTGCAGGTGGAATAAGGACGTAGGATATTGTCAAGGCTTCAATATGTTAGCAGCTATTATTTTAGAAGTTATGGAAAAATCTGAATCCGACGCTTTAAAGGTGACTTTTCCTTCTGCTCCAATGAGGTTCTTTTTATAACGCACTAACCTTGTAACTTACAAAGACTCTTTGCAAAATTTTACCGCAAATTAATTACCAATGTTGTTTTGATCAGTGTTTACAATAGCAACGCTTCTATTCCAGGTTATGATATATTTAGTAGAAGCAGTACTGCCGGAAGGTTACTTCGCTGACGACCTGCGCGGTCTGTCCGCAGACATGGCCGCCTTTCGCGACCTGCTCAGACTGCGTCTGCCGAGACTGGCACAGCACATGGACTATCTACAGAAAATATCAGACGGTAAATATTTCCTAAACGTTACAATAAATAAGGACAGCAGGAGAACTGTAATGCGCGTATATCATTGATCATATAGACGATGGGAAATGACAAGTCAACCTACGGTCACCAAGTGTTTTTAAAGCTTTATTGAAATTGTAGCTATGTAATTTCTTGTCTATGTGATATACTCTACGACATGATTGGTCTACTATTAAAAAAAGCAAATAACTAGTTAAAAAAAATGTTCGTTAAAACACTTTCAACAAATGTTACAGGTGGTGGCATAGAACCTCCCCTGCCGGATGTGTTCACAATGCAGTGGTTCCTAACGCTGTACGCGACATGGCTGCCGCGGGAGTCGCTGCTGAGGATCTGGGACTTGATCCTGCTGGATGGCAATGAGGTGCTGCTGCTCACCGCACTCGCCATATGGGACATGCTACAAGAGTGAGTGCGTTGCTTCAACACTACAGTAATCTAGTTTAATTATCATTAAGAGGTTCCCAAAAGGATAAAGCTCTTTATTCTCCATGATCTACTGTTCCAGTCGTATACTATCGGCTCGTTCAGCGGACGAGTTCTACAGCTGCATGGGCGGGGGCGTTGGCGCGGTGTGGGCGGCGGGCGAAGCGCTAGCGGCGCGAGTAGTGGCGCTGGGTCCCGCACCCGAGCTGCCGCGCTTACGCAGCCTGCACCGCTACCGGGTGGCACCTCCAGCGCCGCCAGCGCCCCCTACCTCCGCACCAATATACCACCCACCTTTGCAATCAGCGGTAAGACACCACATAATATGAGGATTGTTTCACATATTAGCCTATTCGAAATTATTGATATTATTCATCTATACTGACATTATAAAGAGGAAATATTTGTAGTTTTGGGTTTTTGTATGTATTTTATTCACGCAAAAACCACTGCGTCGATTTAAAAAATTCTTTCTCTATTACAAAGGTAATTTATCTGTGAGTAACATATCTTTCATGATTTTTTAATTTCACGCGGGAGAAGTCATATTAAATATAAAAAAAGTAATTTATATATATATATTTCACTCTTTTCAGGTGCAGTCGATGACAAAACGTGGTTTACGATTGTTTTATTCGGAAGACGAAGGTGATTCTAGTGACGATGGAAATAAAATGGCTCTAGCTACGGTAATTTCCACTAAAAATGCTTTTACTACTATCCAATCAATACAAATTTATTAATATTTTGATAAACTTTTGTATTGGTTTGTCGATTGCAGGTGATACCGCGGCGCGAGCAGAGGTCAGGGGCTGGCGACCGTCTGTCGCTGGATATCGGAGCGCTAAAACGTCAGTATGCCAGACTTCGAGAGCGGCAAAGGCAAGCTCATGTCATTTTAGCGGCTGCTTGTGCTCGTCAAGCTGCAGGTACTGGTAATCATCTGCCACCAAAATATATTTTCACATTCTACCTAGTTTTACGTATACTTCGAATATAAAAATGAACTAACACAAGCTATTATGGTAAACTTCGTATTTGTATTATTTCTATCATAACCCTATTCATACGGAAGCTACGTATGCAGAAAAAGGCCCTTTCAAAATGTGTAATTAGCAAAGCTACACGAAGGCTCGATCATATTTAAAAAGTAATAATGACTATCGTCAGCGTCACCGAATTATTCAAACAGCATTGAATTTTTTTTTTATTCCAGTTGGTGTGCCAACGTCACCGACCTCGCTCACAGTGAATAACCTTTTATTAGGAAAAAGTGCAATTGTAAGTTCGAGAGGCCGCAGACTTGGTCCTCCGCCTGGCGCCATACCACCGACGCGAGCTTCATCATTAAACCACGAGAAATCTGATGCGAAACCACGCACTGCGACAAATGATACAATTAGTTGGAAAGAAGAAAAAAGCAGAAAATCTGTCAACAGGCGCAACTCATTAAAATGGAAAGACATTAAAAAAGAAAAAACAACACGTAAGGGTAGAAAAGCGTCTATAGATTTAGATGAAGGTGGTGATGGTGTTATAGTGTCCGAAGTAGAAGCCAGCGAAATGATCGCCTCATTGCGGTCGAGAAGTTCTAGCGAGTCATCTACTTACTCGTCTCATTCTGCGTCAAGTACAGACACTAGTTTATGTGATGAAAATGAAAGAGTCAGTGAATCTGATCAAAGTGATGATTCAAAAGATAAAATAAGTGCAACAGAAATACACAGAGTACAAAAAACTACATCTAAGTCAGTAGCAAAACAAGAAGCTCATACACAAACATCTGCCCAAGACACTAAATATCCAACTTCGCCGATACCTGTAAAAAGTATTAATGATTACCTTGATTCTGATGCGGGCATACCACTTCGTACTTATATTGATGGTTTTGAAACAAAATTAAAAAGTGCTCCCAGTTGTGAAAATTTCAGCAAAAAGCTTACTACCCCTATTAGTCCCGCCATAACCTTATCGTGTCATGATAATTCTGAAAGAAATGATGTATTGCAAAGATTAACAAAAACAAGTTACGGTGAAAATTCGTCAAGTCGAGAATTTATAAGACCGACAAACTTATCAAAGAGTAAAAATTTTACTGAACTTAGCCCAATCGACATATCGCCATGTAACTGCGATTTTGAATGTATATCACCTTATGGTTATGATTTTGAATCAAATTTTAATAGAATATCTCCTTCGACTGTTGAGTTAAATTCAAGACAACCTGATATTATTGATAGTTTGACAATGTATCCTAATTTTGTTCCAGATATAGATTTATCAGACAAAAATATATCAGATTTTGATAGTCCTCCGCGTAGCCCTGGAGAGGAAAGTATTATTGTAAGCGAAGATGAACCACCAATACCGCTCAAAATTGACAAATACTTTGAACATAGTCCAGAGTTTTTTGGCGCTCGAGTAACCGATCCTAATAATTCAGATATTCCTAATCGAAGAGCTGCAAAACGGCAACTGCGGCAACCTAAAAAACCTGATTCACTAACTCTTCAAACAAATCATAACGATGAAACATTAAAAGATGACGTCGAAAGAGCATCATCGTTACCACAAAGTCAAAGTTTTCGGAAAATTAAGACACCCAGTCCAACTTTAACCCCAGAAATTAAAAACAAATTCAGTGCTGAATGTTTGAATATGAATAAAAAAATCATCAGCAATGACAAAACTCCAGAGAAACAAGAAGAAAAACCCTTGAAAGTGACTGATAAAATTTCACCAAAAGAAAATTTTGTTAGGTGTGGTAGAAAAAACAGTGAAAGAGCTCTACAAATCATACAAGAAAATTCGCAAATATTAAGTCGTATTCTAACAAAGCAAAACATAAGTGCTAGTCAAAACCAAACAAAGAAAAACAGTGATGATTTAACAAGCAAACAAGAAAATATGAATGAAAAAAATACAAACAATAAACAAATCGAATCCCCATTACTAAAAGAATCAACGTCTGATTCTTTAATTGGATGCATAAAAAGACACCCTAAGATAGAAAGCACTGAAAGAAATGATTTCCAGAGAGCTAGGCCAATTTCTATCGACGATCCTTTTTCATTCGACTTGCGAAATGTTTTAAGTAGAAATGAAGGACTAACTGTTAAAACTAACAAAACCCCCAGCAGTGAATGTCTTGGTAATAAAACTGATTTATACGGTTGGGAAAACAAAGGATTTTTGGCCAAGTGTGAGTTTAAAAACTTTACCGAAAAATCTGAATGTAATTATGATAGTTTTCGAACAAAACATGGCAATTCACCTATAAAACATACCTTTTCCCAGGATTTAAAAACTGTGGAATCACGGTGGACGCGGCATTCCTTTTCTGAAGACTCAAAAACGTCAGTCACATTACCTTCGTTAGGCTCGAAGGATATATCTCCTTACGAACATCGCTTCACTTCTGATGACTACAATTACACCTTTGCAAGTAAATACAGTGACCTTATAAGTAGAGCTAGTGACATTTGTAACAAAACAGGTGACAAAGTTTCAAAACCTAGTGAAAACACAATAAAAAGTGATAACAGTCAAGTAAGTGAATTTTCTCATGTCGTCACCTCTTCTATTAGTTTTACATGTGAACCTTCACTAGACGATGATTCACCAATAGGAGCTAAAAGCAATTCAAGTGACACATTATGCCAGATAACATCATTAGACCAGATATCTACACCTATATCTCCAAAAATATTCCCAAATCGAGAAACACCGACTAATCAAAAAGAATATACTGAAAAAAGTGAAAAATCCAGAATGGATTCAGATGATACTTGCAGTGCAATCACATCCCTAGTCGAGACTGACACATTATCGTCCCTATCTTACCCGCGTAGTCCATCTACTGGCTCGTATCATCCATTCCCCACACGACAGTCAACAAGATTACCTAAGGAATTAGGAGTAAGATTAGGTATGTATCCCAGGGAAACTATTGGTTCACCGCAAAAATAAAACAGATTTATATCACTTTCTTAAATTGTTTAAAGAATTTTTGCTAAATGTGTTTTGTAAATATGTTTTTGTTGTTATGAATTTGAATTATCTTTTAGAAGTCGTAACATTTTGGATTTTATACTTAGACTTTTGTTAAATATATTTTTACTGATCATTTTTAATAAGACTAATCAATATGTACTTTACAATGTTTTGTTTTCATCGATTGTAAAAAGGGATTTTAAGATTGAATCACAGAAAGCTTTATAAATAATTCTAAAAAAGTTGTTGCCACATTGACTTGTTATAAATTTTAAGCTAACCGTATTCTATTTTCTATACGTAGGAACACCACAAACAAGTTGCCTTTAAGATGTTTAAATGTTATATCGAAATATATTTAAGTAAGTACAGTAAGATTAGGTAGTTAACTAATTCGAACACTACATGGCAATCTTTTGTTTACGGCTATATATAGAAAAATAAAATTTATCTTTGCAAAAAAGATCCGATTGTTAGAAGATATTTATTCTATGACAATATTGAGAAAATATACATTTATGCAGTCATTGTTTGGTTGTTTTATTTGGTGTATCAGAAGTCGTCGAGGACTGGAGGGCAGGTGCATACGAGATGTTTGTCCCCGTACATATCATCAATACGGGACACGGTGGGCCAAATCTTTGTCTCCCCCTTTACAAAAGGCTGCAAAAATTTAAACACCATAAGGACACTGTGACCCAATCAGCGACTTATTTAAACAAACTGAAATAAATTAACTAGTTAAAATACTAACCGCTGGAAATGCGGCTTGCTGCCTTGTGTATGGTCTATTCCAGTCTTCTTTAATGACTTCTTCTTGTGTATGTGGCGACATCTAAAAATCCACAAATGAAATTAATGTTTTTAAATCAATTAATATCTCAGAACAATCAAAATTCTTTGAATATGGCGTTAAAATTGGATTATCTTTCTGCAAAAAAGTAATTTACCTTTAGAGGATTCAATCGTTTATCAATAACACCGTCTTCAATGTCCTTGATTTCCTTGCGAATGGATATGAGAGCTTCACAGAATCGTTCTAACTCCTGAAGGTCTTCTGACTCAGTCGGCTCTATCATGAGCGTGCCGGCTACAGGCCAGGACATAGTCGGAGCGTGGAAACCTAAAGAAAACATTCTTGATAATGTGCTTACTTAAAAAATCAAAATTTCTGCCTTAAAATAAATAAGCAACTTTGTGCTTCTTCTATAAAATTTAGCAGCGCACAGCTCGTATGGCAGAAATACCTTTTTACTTATATTATAAATGCGAAAGTTTATATGAACGGATGTTAGAGTTTGTAGCCTGAACTGCAGAACAGATCGCAATTCAATTCGGCAAATATGTAGAACACAGTCTTGAAGAAAACATAAGCTATTCATTTTTTTTAATTCCACGTGGACGGAGTCCCCGGCTAAAGCTAGTTTATGAATAAAGATAATCACCATCAAACTATTTTTTACTGATTTGAATACGGAAATTAAAAAACATTAGTCAATGAAGAAATTCAAACTCAATTACGCAAGGGAGTACAAACCATAGTCCATAAGTCGCTTGGCAATGTCACTGGGTTCAATGTTAGCAGACTTCTTGAGGTCTCGCAGGTCGATGATAAATTCATGTGCGACGAGGCCTCTCTCGCCTTTATACAACGTTTTGTAATGACCTTCCAGTCTTTTGGACATATAGTTGGCATTTAAAATGGCGACTTGCGTTGCCCGTTTTAGACCTTTCGGTCCCATCATCTAAACAGAAAATGATTTAGTTATTTCTTACATTTTTAACACATTTATTCAGTTGATATTAAATAACTGACTTTTATATACGCCCAAGATATTGGTAAAATCGCAGAAGACCCAAAAGGTGCAGCACTAACTGATCCAAAACTGTGCGCTGCCTCGCCCAAATCAGCTAATGGGTCTACCACAGGATGAGAAGGCAGGAATGGCGCGAGATGTGCTTTACTAGAATACAAATATTCACAGTTAGCATCAACAGAGATACTGCTTAAAATGTTGTGCAAACATGAACGAAGGGTTTCACTTACACTCCTATTGGTCCCATCCCTGGTCCGCCTCCGCCGTGCGGTATGCAGAAGGTTTTGTGTAAATTCAAATGGGATACGTCACTGCCGTAGTCACCTGGCCGGCATAGTCCCACCTTTACAAAGTAAAAAGACAATTTAGTATTTAGCAGAATTTGTCCATTACCAGTATGTTCAGACCAGAGAACAGAGATTTTCACCACCTGAGAGATGATTACGCGCCTGCTCTTTTTTCATAGTAATTAAACGCGGCAACGTTCTGCTTGGCGCTTTAGTTCTCAAATACATTTATTTATTTTTATAGGAATTCCAACAAAACATATTAAAATAAGCATTAATACAGTGGTTTACATTCAAAGATATAAAAACCAACAATGTGCAAAATACAATTACCTTACATCTAAGAAGTTAAAATCGGTGTTTAGTAACAATTCTAAATAAAATTAGAAAAAAAAAGCACATTGTAGCTATGAGTCATACCTATCTTTATATGATTAGCAAAATTATGCCATTTCTTTAATTTCCAAAAATTAAATCCTTTTGAACCCATAAACGTTCAAACAGTCTAGGTGTAATTCGTGTAAAGGTGGCGGCACACCTGCGCGTTCATGTTGGCGCCGTCGAGGTAGACCTGTCCGCCGTGCGCGTGCACCAGCGCGCACACGTCCGCCGCGCGCTCCTCGAACACGCCGAACGTGCTCGGGTACGTCAGCATCAGGCACGACAGCTTCGCGCTGTGCTCCTCCACCTGCACCACAAATCACGCAGTCTATGAACAAATTGTTAATTAATAGTTTTCGCCCGCGACTCCGCGCGGAAAAACAAAAAAAGGTAGCATCCATGTGTTCTTCCAGAGTATGCTCTACATCTATACCAAATGTTATCGAGATGTGTTCAGCCGTTTAGGCTACAAACTCTACAAAAATCCATCTGTCCGTTCAAACTTTCGCATTTAAACTAAGTATTAGTAAGAAGTAAGATTTTTTAGTATCTTATTTCATTTAAGTAAGCAAGAAGATATGGATGGATTGTGTGAAAGAGGATATGCTTAAGAACGGAGTAGATATGACAGCTGTTAGAAATGTATGAAAGAGCTGTACATACTGTACCAATCTGATGATTTCATTCCATACAAAGAAACTTTTGCATAATTACCTAGACTTAAGTAATTAACTTTAAGTCGTGAAGTTGTCCCCCTTACTGACGTATGAGACATACATATTTTCGTTTCGTGACCAAAGAATAATCGTGAATGCGGTAGCAAGAATTTTGACTAAGTGGGAGTACAAACGGAGGAGAATTAGTTCCCTACCAGATCCTTCAAATGTTCCATGTCGATCTCCCCGGCGGCGTTGACGCGGATGGCACAGACGCGCATGCCGGCCATGTGCGCGGAGGCGGGGTTGGTGCCGTGCGCGCTGACGGGGATGAGGCAGATGTGGCGGCCCGCGTCACCGCGGAACTCGTGGTAGCGCTTGATTGTGCGCAGCCCCGCGTACTCGCCTTGCGCACCGCTGGATATATCAATTACTCGGGTCTATATTTTTACTCCATGTGGGTTTTTTTAAATCCACAGGAAAAGGGGGCAAACAAATGAGCGGCTGGAGCACTGAGGCGCTCATCGACGCCCATGAATGTCTGCAATACCAGAGGAACTGCAGATGCGTTGCCAACCTTTGGGAAAGAGATAGGCTTGCATGAAGGACTCTAAGTCGTATTGGTTTGGAAAAACCGCCGAGGTCAGACTGCTCCACAAGGCAGCCGTGTAGGATAGAAAATTCCGCGAGAAGCGCACTGTTGAGGATTGCCAGTATATTTACCTATTAGGTTGGAAGGAAACACGGTCGTAGCCAGTGATAGCGCAGAGATCTTGGGCCAGCTCCTGGAACAGCGTGTGGTACCCCTGGCACTGGTCAAGCGGCGCGAACGGGTGGATCTCGGTGAAGTGACGAAACGAGCAGGGCATCATCTCGGTTGTCGAGTTCAGTTTCATTGTACACGAGCCCTAAGACAAATGTCTTTCTTATTAATAACGTTCCATGAGATTTCGAAGTGGATCGAAATATTTATTTGTGTATTAATCTTACCAACGGTATCATGGAATGAACAAGCGAGATGTCTTTGTTTTCTAATCTCTTCATGTAGCGTACAATTCTAGTCTCAGAATGGTGCATATTAAACACTGGATGCGTGAGGTATGGAGAGGTTCTTCGATAGGGACCTTTTAATACGCTCTTTGCCGATGCGTTACCAGTTTGAAGCACCTGAAAAAGTACGTCTTTCTGTTCACATGCTGCATTTACAAGATACTAGATTAAGCAGTTTTATTTGCCTTAAATTAGTAAATACTTTTGACGTTGTTTATTAAAATGAATCATGTTTATGCCACTATGTTAGAAATACGCATTTACAGAAGAAATACGCGATCTCATCAACATTCTCGCAATAGAATTTACGCAAGACATTTATTTTATTGTACAACTTTCGTTATTGACCTTTCCTGATCTTAATATGCTTGACCTAATTCAATGATAACATTTACACAATCAAAACTATTTAAACTAAAAGTGCAGAATAACATACGTAAGACTCATAGGCATCCAATCCGACCTACCTTTGTTATCCCATAGTCTATCACCATCAAAATGATATCTTTCGGTGATTTAATTCCCATCAGAACTTACGCTACACGTTTGTTTTGAGATATTGAGTTTGGTTGGAGAGGTTTTGAGTTTGGTTGACACCAGTTAACTCCATCTCAAAACAGAGAGACTTATCGCTTAATACTTTGAAATAATAACATCCAACTACAAACAACTACTTTTTTATATCACCAAAGAAAGTGTTGCTGTTTGTATCAAATAAACTTACTTCATCAACGTTATTGCAGTCAAATATCCACAGTAGATCTTGCACATCTTCCATAGTCGTGGTTTCGTCCAAAGCCACGCCGACCGCACCGTCATCGAAATATCTTAAATTAATCTTCTTTTGCTGTGCCCGCGCTTTGATAGCTGTCGCGTCGTGCTCGGCATGAGGCACCACGTGCAGTGTGTCGAAGTATACGTCATTGGACTGCTTGTGGCCACGACCTCTGATACCTGGTGTACAATTAACACGGAAATATTACTTATGGTAACTTGATACGAGATATTATAAGTCACATTGTGTTTTGAAATAGCTTACCGTGATCTAATACGAGTGTAGCGTTATGGACTCGAGTGGCGATATCCCTTAGGCCTTGTGGTCCGTGGTACACCGCGAACATGGCGGACATGTTGGCGAGCAACGCCTGCGCCGTGCAGATATTTGAAGTGGCTTTATCACGACGTATGTGTTGCTCCCGCGTTTGTAGAGCCAGCCTAACAAAAAATGTACAGATACCACCTCGACATTTCTCATTAAAATTAAGCAAACATCTTGCCCTTATAATAACACTAACCTGTACGCATCTCTTCCCGAAGCGTCTCGTGTGACGCCGACCATCCGGCCTGGCATCAGACGGACCAGCGCATGTTCTGCGGCGAAGAACCCAGCGTGGGGTCCCCCGTATCCGAGGGGAACCCCTAGTCTTTGAGACGTGCCTACAGCAAGGTTAGCGCCGCACTCCGCCGGCGGACGCAGTAGCGCCATCGCTAGGAGATCCGTTGCTACCACCACTAAAGTCTAGGAAAAATAATGTCAGTAGTTTCGTCAAAATTTATGGTTTTATTCACACCTATCCGTTCTTAAAGTAACTTTAGGAACGGTTACTCAATTTCACATACACGCTAAAATGTAATAAAACATGTAACTACCCCATGTTCATGTGCAGTAGCCGCTAGTCCGGAATAATCGTAAACTAATCCTCTTGTGTCGGGACATTGCAAGAGCACAGCTGAGATGTCCCTTTGCGCGAAGTCAGCGGAGCGTACGTCCGGCACCACTTTCACTTCGAGTCCCAGCGCGTCCAGTCGGGTTTGCACTACAGCTAGCGTTTGCGGATGCAGACGCTCTGATACCACGAACTTTGTCCGTTTGTTGTGCCTAAGAAATAAATTTGTTTCATGTTATATTATTTTATGGTTTCAATGACACTGGTAAATAAAACAGTTTATTTTACATACCTGTGGCAAAGAGATAACGCCTCAGCAGCGGCCGTGCCCTCGTCTAGCAGAGATGCGTTTGCCACATCTAATCCAGTGAGGTCACTGACCATCGTCTGGTAATTGAGAAGACCTTCCAATCTTCCTTGAGCAACCTCTGGCTGGTATGGTGTGTATTGCGTAGTCCTGTAACGGATAATGTCAATATGCGCCTAGTATTTATTTTAATTATCTCAAAGTCTGACGATTACAATTGTATATATCTTTTTTGCTGCGAACAGCAGAATTACAAAGTTTAATTTTAACTACCCTTCAAAAGGGTAATCCACTGCAAATACCTACTAATAAAAAAGAAAAATGTACTCATGATAAAACCTATCTTACCATCCTGGATTCTCGAATAAATTACGCATAATTGTATGAGGGACACAGCAGTTGTGGTACCCCATGCCAATATACGAACGCCATATTTGATTTGTTTCAGCAATCTTTCTTACTCGTTCAATAAGGTCATATTCACCTGAAAGCATTACGAAAGGTTAATTTTTTACTAACATTTCAATCCATTTTTTCTTAAATGGATTTGTAAAATTTTTCGAAAACAGAAGTGGACCAAATATGTTTAATCAATTTTAGTTACAACCAATTAGTTATTCATAGAAAATAAAAACTATACAAATATACTCACTCATAGGTTCATCAATCTTCATGAGACCTTGTAGTTGAATCTTTTTAGGTACCGCATCATTTGTCAATTGATCTAAACTCTAAATTAAAAGAACATAACTTAAGGTCAACTCCTTGTGTTACATTTAAATAATAAACATAATATGTACGTACTTTATACCCAAGCAAATCCAACATAGTAACGACATCCTGATCTCTAGGTCCAATATGTCTACTAGGAAAGTCTACTCTTTCGGGGAATAGGTTTTCGGAGCCTACATTATGAGAAGCACATCTTAACACGTTTTTCCGACAATTCTTATGACCGCTTAAATTTTTTACAACTGCTACGTTGAAAAATGATTTATTTGTACAAAATTTATACATTTTTGTTAAATTATTAGTAAATTTACACCACTTTAAACATATTATTGTGTTACTTAATAAAGAGCCAGAAACGTACTGATAGTAGGGTCATGGCGCATTTGCTATTCCCCGATAAGAAACATTAATAAACACAATCAGTCGTATTTTGTGCTGGAACTATATCATTATTTCTAAATGACCTATTATCATAACTCTTACTTTCAACGTCTTACATGTGGAGGCTTATCTTACTGGGGGTGTCGACTGTCGAAATATTTGTGTAGAAACATTCGATTTTCATCGTCTTTGTAAACTACACTACATCGTTAGGAATACATATTAGTTTTATTATATTGTATAAGGGTAAGCCAAATATCGTGTTGGAATATTAACCAACTGATAATTTCGTTTTTTTATGTTTTACTGATGGTTGAGAAACAAAACGTTATTAAATAAAAGTTAATTAAATCAATTATTTAATTAAAATAAAGGACAGAGCATTCTGTATTTTACTATAAATATAACTACATCATATTTATTGATAAAACAAAGGCAGCGTTAAGCTGTGGAGATTTTAATTTTAGAATTGAAAAATCATTTATTCCATTTAGCACTTTATCGTAGGTATGTACTATATTTATAAACCTAGCATATAGTACGAAGAAAGTCACATTGTGCAATTATGCAAATATGAAATCGCCCATTTTCCGGTAATCCCCAAGAAAAATGTTTATCACGTTTCGTTTTAATATATTCTTGATAAACTCTTTTTTTCAATGAAATAATATTATAAGTCCATTACAGTCAACAATTTAGATTATTTTTAGGTTTTTGCTATCTTTTTTATTGCGAACAAAAACATCAGCTTACAAAACAGTGTATTGTTTTTATGTTTTCATTACATTTATAAAAATTAAATTGCAAGTGTTTCCGTGAAACGGAACGCAAACCATTTTCCTGTCAGTGTCGTCAATTGTCATCCTCGCTTTTTTTTGTATTTTTATATGGTTTTGCTGAAGTTTTGAGAAAACTTTTTGTTCATGTTTTGTTTTGTCAGAAATTAATCCTTAATACCAAAAGATCCTTTTTTTTTAAATAGAAAATGACTTTAACAAATTATTCTCATTTAAAACAACAAATAATATTAAGTGCAGGTCAAAGTGATAAACATAGTCAAATATTAGGTGTACTAAAAGAGTATTATAAAGATGAAATTGATTCACCAAGAAGATACGAGAACATAAATACTATAGGAGAGTTAATGAGAGTCTTGGAAATAAGAGACATTTTATCGGAAGATAATGTTATGCCCTTAAAAGAAGTAGCTTCCAGACTTTCAAACAACAGGGAACTTTTACGCAAAATAGATATCTATGAGTCGACTCATGTACAGCGAGGATTTATTAACCAATACGGTAAATTAATGTTACTTTTAAATCAAATCTTCCTTGACTATCTGTATATGTTTTATATGTTGGGCCCTTCTAGTTCAACAATGCTTTTTATAGTTTTGAGATCTTATTGTATCAATTTTCTAAAATTGAAAACTCATGATTTATTACAATTTCAGTGGTTGACCAACAACATAATCATAGTACACCCAAAAACGAGACCATTGAGACAATAAACAGTAATCCATTGGGTAATATGAGTAAACGTAAAAAGGAAAGAATTTTGGAAACAATTACAGAGGAAATTGGAATTTTCTGGCGTGATCTAGCAAGAAATCTCAAGATTCGTGAATGTGTTATTGATGAAATTGATTTGAACAACAGGAATCTCTCGATTAAAGCTGAAAAACTCTTAGAGGCTTATGAACACAAAGCTGACCCTCAGAGATGGTTTTTTGTACTGTGCGAAGCATTAGAGAAAGCCCGCAGAAAAGACATTAGCAGATCATTACAAGACATAATGTCAATGAACATATAGTTTATATTCTGTGGTAAATGTACATTTTACACTTGTTTTTTTTTTTACTTTAGCCATGACATTTCATATCAAAAATTATTTTTGCCTTGTATTTTAAAGTGTAGTTTGTCTTAATTACTTGAAGAAATATTTTAAATAAAATATAGGATTTCTAATTTTTTACAAAATTAGTTCTATAAATGGAAAAGGATTTGGTTCAATAAATATACTGAGGTATACGTTTTATTTTTATTTTTTACAATAACTAAATAACACAAACTGTATATAGAACTGTACATTTGTAAGTTTGGAATGTAAAAATAAATGCATGATGTTTTGGCATATTGTAATTAAAATATTTATAGTATGGTATTTCATAAAAACATAATATTGTGGATTATAAAAAAACTTTTAATTGATAGTCATTTTAGTCCAAGATCAACTTTATACTTGCAAAATAATCTAAAATTATTTATACAAATTTTATTAAAATGCTACCTTTATTGTTATTTCTAGTATAATTGGTCCCATATAAAAGCATACTTAATATAATATTAAACTATACTTATAAGTAAAAGGAACAATGTTAAAAGATAAATGATTAGTGAAGAAATGTTTCGAGGTCTATTTTTTGTTTGATATCATTTAGTTCATCTATCAAATAAAGATATGCAATGAAACATGTGTTGTCACTTATGCCTACAAATTAATGTCTTATGTATGATTATAATATTGGAAATAGCAATTTTATATATCTAAGAGTTAATTCGAAAAGATAACCTATGGATAAATTACTCCATGGCAACAGATTCCTTAATATGTATTATAAAACACAAAGATACCCAAAAAGAGAATAATTCAAAAGACAAAAACTTCTTACATTATGATCATTTAAAAAAAAAAAAAACAAAATGCAAGGTACACTAAAAGGAACAATAGACAATAGATATTCTAGAAATAAAATTTTTAATCTGTATTTGTTGTCAAAATTTTCCTAACATTAACTAAATAAAATGAACTCTATTGAAAAGAACAGAAGGTTGATTTTCGCTAAGCTTTGTCAGCGGCCCAGATGTACGCGTTCTGGAACAATCTGAGCCAGGGCGAGGCGCGCGTGTCGGCGGGGGGCGGGGGCGCGGGGCACTGCCAGCGCAGCACGCAGCGCTCGGGGTGCGGCATCATGGCTAAATGCCGCCCGTCACGAGACCGCACGCCCGCTATACCCTCTGCAAATTATTTTACTGATATTATACATGTTAAAGTTTAGATGGATGTACGTTAGAAGATATTTCCAGAATGGCTCAATGTATCTATCTTGATGAAATTTGGCACAGATGTAAAATAGTCTGAAAGAACTCAAAGGCTAATTATTGTTTTATTTTTAAACTGGGCGGACAGAGTCTTGTAATACCATAATGTTTATAGAAGTTAGATATTTCGGCGGCTTGGAATATCTTCGCTGCCTAAATTATAATGTAACGGGGCATTTAACATACTTTGTAAGGTATTTGTAAGTGTATATTTTTAAGTTGAATTAAATTCCAGGGTTCATTATTCGAATGTTTTCATAACAATAGTTCTCGACATCAGCAGACGTAAAGATCAACTACATCAAACAGAATTTGAAAGTAATCCAAATCTTACCGGGGCTTCCATTGGGATTCATGGGATAAGTCTCAGTGGGGGCTCCGTCGTCGTCCACGTACTGCATGGCGACCTGTCCGTTGTGTCGCAGGCGCTGCAGCAGGCGCGGCGCGGCGAGGGCGAAACGCCCCTCCCCGTGCGCCACCCACACGCCCAGCACGCTGCCGCCCATGCCGCGGAACCACACGTCCTCGCCGCGCTCGCTTATCTTCACTGCGCTCCAGCGACACTCAAACCTATAAAGTGTTCAAATTAATTCTCTGTACAAAACCTACACATAATGGTATAAACACTGTTTAAAAAAAAAACGTAAAACCTAAAGAAAAGAAGTATAGTAAACTAAATATATATATGCCAATCATACTAATATTATAAATGCGGAAATTTAGCTGGATGGATGGATGGATGTTAGGGTTTGTAGACTAAACGGCTCACCTAATTTTGATGAAATTTGGTATAGATGTAGAGGATAGCCTGGAAGAACATATAGGCTACTCACTTTTGTTTTTTTATAATTCCTCGCGGGCGAAAGCTAGTTAAGGACATGCACAAAAACCCAATTTCCTTACTTTGATATCTATAAGTTTCTAAACTTTGAAAACAACAGCAGCATTTGGCCAGTAAATTCATAGTCTACCTGTAATGAGTATTCCCAAAGGTAAGTTATTGCATATTAAGTCCAGTAATAACTTGCACCGAGGCTTGAGGCTCCGAACATCGCGGCAAGGATATATAATGAGCTGATGATGATGATAATGAAGAAGAAGCTCAATCAGGATTTAAAATAAGATAGTGGTGATGATACCTTTCAGAAAGATTGTGATCGAGGAATATCTGCGTGTTGTTGGCGAAGTTATTGGAATCGTCGACATCAAGCCAGCCCAGCATGGCCATCAGCTGGCATCCATTGCACACGCCCAGCGAGAACGTGTCCTCTCGGTTCCTGAAGTGCGCGAACTGAGCGTGCAGCTTCTCAGAGAACAGGATACCCGCGGCCCAGCCCTTAGCGGATCCGAGGGTGTCTGGAAACATTACTTAGTTTTAAAATCCTTACATTTTCATTATAATCTATAATTATATTATAAAAAGGAAAGATTTGGATTTTTGGATTTTTGTATGTATTGAAACAAGTCAAAAATACTAGGTCGATTTCAAAAATTTGTTCACCATTAAAAAGCTATGTTGACTGAGTAATTTACGTACAGTAGTTTACATAAGAGTAAACCAGTAAGGCAAGGCAGTAGAATAGTGTAAGTACTGCTATTATTTGCATGTTAAACACAATTTTATCAATACCTTATGATTTCTATTATTTCATTTTGTATCTATGCTAATATTAAAAAGAGGAAAGATATGTATTTTTGTAAGTATTGAAATGAAAAAAACGACTGGGCCGAATTTAAAAATTCTTTCACTATTAAAAAGATACGTTAAGAAGTATATTTTTTATCACGCGGGCGAAATCGCGTGTAAAACCAGTATTTGTATAATTTTTTTTCTAAATTCAACTGAGACACATGTAATGAGATATTTATATTGGTTATTGGAATCTATTTATAACAAACAAAATGTCAGTGTTGTAATTTATCAGCCAGGGTGAGGTGAGGTCGGTGTCGCGGCCTCGCCCTGTCTGATGTAATTCATCCCATGTTGTTGTTGTTGTTCATTTTTGATAAACATTATAATGGAAATTTTATTCTTAAATTTTTTTCATCTTAACAAGTAATATGTAATTTGTTTATGACTAAATGTAATACGATATACTAATTTTACAATCCGAAACTTTTACGAATGGACGTTAAATTTTCTATTTGAAACCTTCTATCCGTTGATTTTTTTTATAAAAGATAAAATGTAATAAGATATTTGATTATTGTGTTCTACCGTCATACACATCACGTATACTTAATTAATTTTAAGGAAAAAAGGAACTTTTAAAAATCCATTCTTTTTTCTATAACAAGAAGAAAATTGTGCCCTTTAACTATGATTACTATTGATGTAATCAAAAACCTTCAATTTTTTTTATTTTCAAGAGTATACCTGCATAGCTGAATCCCCCAGGGAAGACCAAACCCCTGAAGACGTCCAGCGTGATCTTGCCAGCCTGCAGGTCGCTCATCGTCACGTCGAACACCTCGAAGTTGGCCAGCATCAGAGACGCCATCATCTCTCTGTCGCCATTCGTACCTAAAACATATCTTTCTATCAAATCCCGCCTAGGAAGTTCAAAAATATAAAATACTAGCTTTGCAAGCAATTCCATCCGCGTGGAATTAAAAAAAAAACAAAAGTAGCCTTTGTATTCTTCCAGACATCTATGCCAAATTCATCGAGATCCTTTCAGTCGTTTAGGGTACAAATACTAAGAAACATCAATCTAAACTTTCGAATTTATTAGTATGATATATTAAAAGTACTTCAAAAATGACAATATACCTGTCCCCCCTAACCTAGATTCTCGGCTTGACATGCCCATGACTTGTAATGGAAGTGAAAAGGGTGACAATTGTGTGCTTACGTTTCTAAAATATAAACCCAAATCAAATATAACAAATGTTTTAGATAAAGCAGACATTTTCAGGATAGAATCTCCCTTAGTGACCATTTTTTTTTATAACATAAGGTGGCAAACGAGCACGCGGCCACCTGAATCCGCCAAAATGGCGAAGCGACCGCTGCCCATACACATCCGCAATTGCAGATGCGTTGCCTACCCTTATTTGACGGAGGAGGAGACGCACATAAAGAGGATATTTCCCCTTCCCATACATCTCCTCCACCGTCAAATCGACTTTCTCTTCCCATCCTCTCCTTATAAGAAAAGGGTGGCAAAGAGAAAGAGACTAAAATTAGGTCTCCGGTACCACACTCGTCAGACGAAACACGGAATTGCTTCCATTAAGTATGACTTAAAGAGCACTTTGACAATAACATACCTTCCTCTCTTATGACGGCCACTTTAACAGAGTTAGATTTGACAACCGCTGCGGAAGGGTCAAATGTCACTTTGTATGTAACTCCTTTACGTTTCTCCAGACCTGGTATGGAAACAAAACATACATAAAAATGCTGCAATAATCAATAATGGTAGATAACTAGAGACTAAATATAAACATAATAATTTGTGGAGAAAATAATAACAGGTAAATGACGTTTGCACGTTTACAATATATAGGGTGGAATCATAAAACACATTTAAAATAGCAGCGTCTTATACAAACAGCAAATTCCATTAAAATGTTAAAATCCGTCAGATTGATGAAAGGAGATTGCATGTATCTGAGATGCGTATGTTAAGATGGATGTGTGGTGTGACAAGATTGGATAAAGTTAAGAATGTGTACATTAGAGGAAGTTTGAAAGTAGCGCCAGTGGTGGAGAAATTGAGAAGCAAAAGGTTAGCGTGGTATGGACATGTTATGCGACGAAATGATGGGGACATAAACCAGAAAGCGTTAAGATTGAATGTGGATGGCTACAAAGGTAGAGGAAGACCGAAGAAAGTATGGATGGATTGTGTGAAAGAGGATATGCTTAAGAAAGGAGTGGATTCAGATATGACGGCTGATAAAGATGTATGGAAGAGCAGCACATACTGTGCCGACCCTCCATAAGGGATAAGGGCAAGTGGATGATGATTGTAGGCGCTTTCGAAGCAAAGTGTTTAACAATTAGATCCGTGATTTTTATAAAGTTCTTGAAAAAATACCTAATGCAGTATACTATAATACAAGACAAATATTAAAAAAAATCTAGCATCCGAATATATATTTTTTGAGTTTCGTTGGTATGTGTGAATCAATGTTTAGGGGTCATAAATAAATATTTTAACATGACATTTAAGGGTTAAGTTTTCTTCCTGTATTAGGGCATAAATGTTTCTTTTATAAATAAAGACATTGCAGTTACCGAGCCACTCCTGCGTGACGCAGTGGGAGTTGGCCTGCAGACACTCCAGCCGGTAGCTGGTCTCCTCCCACGTGCGGTACACCTTCACCAGCGTCGTCCGCAGCACGCACTCGCCGTTCACCTTCACCACCACCTTTACAAGAAAACAATTAAAAACATTACTAAACTTCATTATCAGCACCGATTAGTTTCACCTCTAATACTAGTAAGTGGAGTAATTAAAAGTGAGTCTATTATTCATTATTTTATAGTCCTACCTAACCCTACCTCACATTGAAACCCATAGGGTCAAGAAAAAAATTAGTACCATAGTCTAGAATTGATGCAACACTAGATTGTCGGCATAAACGTCACGTCCCTAGCTGACAGCTATCAATGTCATTAGATGACAGCTGTCAATGTCATATGGATGATTCGCGCGCTTTGCTGGCGAGATCTCTAGTGGAGTGTTTAATATAATTTTCACTAGTTACAATGATATTAATTGTTTGAAAATAGGTACTTTTACGAGTATTAGTTTAGTTATAGAGATTTATAACTTATTATTAAATCGCTGTCGTTCGGTGTTAAAAATTATAATAGACCAACTTTTAACGACGTGGATTTAAAAAAAAAGTAAACAGACTACATGTTCTTCCATACTATGCTCTATATCTATGCTAAACTTTGAGATCTGCTCAGCCGTTTTAACGACAAAGTCTAATAAACATTCATCCATGCATCAAAACCTTCGCATCTACATTACTAGTTTTAGCCCGCGGTTTCGTCCGCGTTGAATTAAAAAAGTAAGTAGCCTATGCGCTTTTCAAGACTATCCTCTACATCTATACCAAATTTCATCGTAATCCGTTCAGCCGTTTAGTCTATAAACTCTAAGAAACATCTATCCATCCTTCCAAGCTTTCGCATTTATAATATTAGTAGGATTTATATAGGTTAAATAAATATAAAATTACCTCTGACTGCATACCGTACTTCCCAGTTGTGCCAATAACTTTAGCAACAACACCATTCTTTTTATACTCATTGAGTACATAGTTAACATCAGTTTGGTCCACTTCTAACACGATACCGAGCTCTTCATTGAATAGTGAGTCAATCACTGTAACCCCCTTTTCCACTTGCAGATCGATGTTTAAACCCCGAAGTCCACCAATGCCCATCTCCAAAACTGTCGTTATAAAACCTCCTTCACTTATATCATGGCCGGATAGAAGTTTCTTCTCTGAAAAAAAAAAAATGTTATTAACTCCAAGATTCAAAGTATTTCTTCTAAATAAATCTATATAAAAATTTACCTTTGAGTAATTTCTGAGTAGTTTTGAATAAGGCTTTGAGAATTGCAGGATCGTCCAAGTCTGGAGGATTGTCGCCTAATTGCTTGTAACACTGCGCTAAAGATGAGCCGCCAGTTCTGTGAAATATTTGAAAAAATATATAAGAATTACTTCTTCTACGAGTACAAAAGGCACATCTTACTAATATTATAAATATGAATGGATGGATGGATGGATGTTTGTTGAAATTTGCCGCCTAAACTAAGCGGATCTAGATGAAATTTGGTATAAATGCAAAACATAGTCTGGAAGAACACAAGCTACTTATTTCTGTAAATTTCTACGCGGATATTTGCATTCTTGTACGTATAGAAACTCAAAAACTACTCAGCCGATGCCAAAAATTCTTTCACCATTAAAAAGCTTCGTTATTACTGAATAACATAGGCCATATTTTAAGTTTAACGAGGTCGGAGTAACAAAAGCTAGAACACTAGTAAATGAATAAAAATAAATTTTCGGCCTGTCCCAAGGAAACAAAATCCAACTTTTTTATCGCATATTTTATTTGTTGGATTGTTATCAGACAATTTATAATTTGGTGGGACAGGGGCTAAGAGCCTTGATACACGTTCGATTCACGATAAAATTTTGTATCGAACATGTAAAATATCGGATTTTGATACTATATCGGACAGTGACGTCATTTTTTAGCCATCTGAGCCTATATGGTTAAAACAGTAAAGTTACCTATACTTCCCGGGCGTGACGGGGACGTGTAGCAGGGCGGAGCCTTCCCGCAGCAGCGCTGGCTCTATTTTGACGGTGACGTCGGGACACGGCGCGTACGTCGACACCACCAGCGTGCCCGGGGAACGGACTGACAAATTGAATTAAATTAACATATAATTTAAACAACACGTCACAAGGTGACATATTATTAAAAACCTCGAGCTATCTTAATGTAAGAATTTAAAAAAAATATTAATTTGCCCAGTATACTAATATTATAAATGCAAAATTATAGATGGCTGTTTGTTAGCGTTTGTAGCTTAAACGGCTGATCGGATTTGGATGTAATTTGGTATGGATGTAGAGGATAGTTTGGAAGATCACACTATTTGCTTTTTTCTAACTCCACGCGGACGGAGTCGCGGGCGAAAGCTAGTAGTATATATTTTTAACATTGATGAAAATAATAAACATTTAAAACAAAAAAGTTTTAACAGACCATATTTTTTTGATTTGTGACATGACGTTAAAATGTTGGAGTTCTTGCACGCTTCATTTGAAAAGCACCACTTTACTTCTTACTAATAATATAAATGCGAATGTTTAGATGGATGTCTTGAGTTTGCAGCCTAAACTGCTGAACGGATCTGGATGAAATTTGGCATAGATGTAGAGGATAGTCTGGAAGAACACAGACTTCTTATTTTTTTTTAATTCCACACGGAAGGAGTTGCGCACTACTACCCTTTGAGAACAAGGGTATTAACGTCGGGTTTGCCCCGCCCCAAATCTAGTAAAAAAAATGGATGTAACAATTAAGGGTATATATACCTGTTTGTCCTTCGACATTAGCGCACATGGAGAGGGAGTCCTTGCCGCCGTCGATGGCGACTCCTAAGACGGCCATGGCATCGCACAGCGCGCGGCACGCCGCCACCAGCGCCGCGCCCGCGCCGCCCGCCTTGCCGGACCACATCCAGTTGCCGGAGCACTTCACGTCCTCTAATGACGATATGCCGGCGAACACCTACATACCTCACAATTTTAGCTACTATACCAAATTATAAGATTATATTACATCTGTTTTTAAAGCGAAAGAGGGCGTTATTACGAGACAAATACTATGAAGCGCTCTATGATATGTTATTGATTAAATTTGATCCTAAAAGTATTAATCTTATGGTCACACAATGTAAGGGATGTGATTTTACAAAATTACAGCCTTAAATATTAAACTATTGGCATTGGTCAATGTTATGGTGCCGAATATTATCTTTCTCGCTCTCCTTCGTTATATACTTCCTTTCTCATAACAAAAGTAATAATGGGCTAATCTATGTAATTGATAGTATAAATAGAGAATTATTTGTATTTTTGCATTGAATAAACAACAAAACTACTAAGTCGATTTCAATGCACAATAACTACACAATCATTAACATAGAGACTATTTTTAACTATCTATTTCGTATTCCGCACACAATAATACTGACCAGATTGGTCAAAGCTTCGCCGAGGGAGAGGCGCGCGCCGGGCGCGGGGTCCAACAGGCCCTTGACGTTCTGCGTGCCGATGGAGGTGGCGGAACCCACCAGCTCGAAGTGCGCGAGCGCGAGCACGGCGCAGTCCGCCAGCGGCGCGTGCAGCGGCCCCACGCACTGCTGCTGCGCCACCAGCCCCGACACGCAGCGGTCCACCTGCGCAAATAATAATACACGATGCAACATTTAATAAATTACACATGAATACAAGCATAGATCTGTACTCTTCTATACTTAAAATTATAAAGAGGAAAGATTTGTATTTTTGTATGTATTAAAATAACTCAAAAACTATTGGATCGATTTTATAAACTCTTTCACTTTTAAAAAGCTACGTTATCAATATTCGTTATTCGTTAATCGTTCAAAATACGTTTTTCATTAATTTTTTTTAAATTTCACGAGGACGTATTCGCGACTAACAGCTAGTTTGTTATATTTGTCTTATTAAAGTAAACAAAACATAAGAATTACATATTTTTTATACTATAAAGAGACAAACGAGCAAGCGGAGCCATAACTGGCCAAAATAGCGCAGCGACCACTGCACGTAACCTTTTATGAATTTTATTATATTTCATGTTTAAATCTGTAAGTATTAATAATTTTTATCACCTTCCGTTCCATGCAACAACAGTTTTTGCATTTTTTTTCGCGTATGTCACATTACACTGGACTAGTTAAGAAAGTCATTGCATTGAACGTGTCAATAACTTTTAAATAATAGACGAAACTTAAATTTTTCATACTTTAAAGAACTCTTACCTTATTAGTCAAATATCTCTTGCTGGCAACATTGACGAGTCGTAACACTCTATCCAGAGCAGCTTCTACAGTTATGTCGTTGGGCAAAGACAATGGTACTTTGGTCACATTATCTTGTTTAAAATCAAATACCTTACGTGGCATATTACCTGCACAATAAAGAAAAAAATGCATCTACATTTTTTAAACCATAATAAGCATATAACATGTCAAAATACTGAGAAAAGGTCAATTATGTACTATGCACTTTTAGAAATTACTACCTACCTAACACAGCGTCTAAATGCAAATCATAAGGCAGTTTGGATTTAATTTCAGGTTTGAGTCTATTCTCTCGGGGAATGTGGACCTCTTTGTATGAATCTTCAACAAGACTCATGTAGCCATCTCCTGTTACTTCACCAACGAACGACACTGGACATCTTTCTCTGCGACAAATATCTGTAAAAGGAAAAAATATAGAAAACCATGAGATAGGAAATTAAAAAAAAAACAATCGTGCAATAAAAAAAACCGACGAAATGATTTCATGACAATTTGAGCAAGACCAAGAGTCGAATAAAATCACTCGTGTAATTGGTTCTATTATTCTTTAAGCGACATACTTGAATTGAATCAATATCTGACATAGATGTGAAAGTTTAGATAGCTGTTTATTAAAAGATATCTCCAGAACAGCTCAACGAATCCTGATAAAAATTGGCACTGATGAACATAGGCTATAAACTTTTGTTTTTAACTCCTGCGGACGGTGTCACGGGGAAAAGCTAATACGTACGTACATATACAAAAGAACCCACCCGAGTCATGATTGTTTTTTAATGTAGTATGACCTTCAAGAATATATACATATACATAACAAGATATCTTACGAAATTAGTATATTAGGGGAAGTTTGAGAATAGCCTAATTGGTAGAGAAGGTAAGAAGTAAAAGGTTAGCATGGCATAGGCATGTTATGAGGAGGGATGAATCGCATGTAACAAGAAGGATGGTAGTTATCAATGTGGAGGTACACCGGTAGGGGTAGATCTAGGAAGAGATGGATGGATTGAAAGGTGACAAGATCAAGAAAGAAGTGATAACTGAGATGACGGATGATAGAGTCATTTGAAGGAAAACCCGTTGCGCCGACCCTAAGGAAGTAGGATAATGTAGGTGAGATAATCACCTTCAAGTATATGTCTATTCTCCTTGGTGCAGAGCAGCGCGTCGTTCTCCTGGTACTCGGCGCCCCACAGCTCCAGGGTGGTGATGGTGGGGTCTCCGAGCTGGAACTCCTCGGAGAACACCACCGCACCCTCGGGCTCCACCAGCTCTTTTAACACGTTGCCGTTACCACCGGCGCCTTGGTCGTGGATTGCTATAATAGACAAATTAACATTTTTTTATTTTCCACAAAAAAATTATTGATTCTAATTAGTAATAAAAATCGTATAATTCTTAAGAAAAGATTTGTGTCCTATTTTTAAAGGATTTGTCATATCTATCAACAAACAACAAACTAAACTTTTATAATTGATTTTTTCTAAATGCATCATTGTTTATGGGGTTTTATCTTTTAAAATAGGTAAAATCAAAATGTTTCTAGCTTTCGCCCGCGACTCCGTCCGCGTGGAATTAAAAAAAAAACAAAAGTGAGTAGCCTATGTGTTCTTCCAGACTATCCTCTACATCCATACCAAATTTTATCGAAATCCGTTCAGCCGCTTAGGCTACAAACTCTAACATCCATCCATCCATCTAAACTTTCGCATTTATAATATTAGTAAGATAAAACAATTTGTTATGTATAGTTAAAAAGAAAAATATTTACACTGAAGCGTATTTATACCTTTCAAGGTAGAAGATAATACTCTGTAAATTAATCAATTACAGTAAAAATTACGTAAAAGGAAAAGGTCAGTATACTCACATTCAACTGGGTTTATTTCACTTTCTAAGCATCCTCTTACAACTCTGTTCAGACGATTTCCCATTTCAGCATCACCTAGTAAAATAACATACACTTAGAATAATAGAAAAAAAAATTAAAAGAACATTAGTAAAATAATAATTATTATATAATAATGTTAGTTATTAATTATGATGCTATTACCTCCTTGTCTTATTAGTTAGGTCGTCTGATACGATGGCAAAAGCTGAAACAAATTTAGCGCTCAAGCAATAAAACTTTGGTTAACCAGTTTAAATCTATATGATTATAATTTTTTCTTCCATGCTTTAGTCCCGAGTTATAACTAAAAGTTTATTGAATTAATTAAATCTATTACATATGTTAGTATAATAAGATTGCATGCATACCCATTAATTAAGTAGTATTGCTGTTTGTCTTAAACATTATGATGCAACCTGCACATATCGGCAAAAAATTTAAAGATATGTGAGAAGTCAACCCGCAGTGAAACATGGTTGATGGCTTAGTCTCCCTAACTTAGGGTAGGCTGCAAGCCCCTCTATGGTATAGTGAGCTAGTGATGATGATGATGATGGCGTTGATGATAATGGTGTTGTTGATGATGATGATTCCTGTATATATTAACCTCTTTGCACCGCGCCGAAGTCGAGTGCGTGGTCCCTGGCGTCTCCGCCCTGCACCGCCACGGAGGAGGCCGCGCCGCCGCCCACGCCGATGCGGTACACCGGCCCCCCCACCTTCACCAGCAACATTCCTATTGCAAACATATGAAATGTTAACTATGTTGCCTGATACACAAGATACGTGCGATATCCGGATCCGATGTCCGTATCTGATATCCGGATATAGGTGCTCTTTATAACGTTGCCGTGGGTGTTGCCAGGCTCTAGGCTAGGTCTATGGGGGAGCTACAATTAATATTGTTGCTTTCGAAGTACTTCTTATATCTACTTTGTTATCTTATATAGATATATAATATATAATTTAGATAAATTACTGGTTATTATATTTTGTAACCTTTTCTGGTACTAAATTACTTTTTTCTAATGAACAGATGGTATTTTATTGTTTAGTAATTCAGTTATTAACTTACCCTTTTCAGGTTTGTTCTTTTTAATCATACTATGCGGCATATATCCTATTCCTCCACTGAACATAATGGGCTTCACAAACTCTTCTCTTACATTATCGCCATTTTTCAATCCATACGATTGAACGAATCCTGTACAAATAATACTAACAGATTAAAGTTTCATTAATATAACTGTCAAACGTAAATATAAGTAAATATCATTTAAAAAATCAATAACTAATAAAAGATTTTTTCATAAAAGGTCTTACCTGATATAACCGGTTCCCCAAATTTATTGCCGTAATCAGAAGCACCATTACTAGCGTCTATGATAATCTGCAACGGACTTGCAAAGTTATTTGGATATTTCCAAGTTTTGGCCTCCCATGGCAAATCATAACCTAAAATTGATAAATACAATATCAAAAAAATTATAAATACAAACAATAAAACAATTTTCAAACTCACAAATTAATAAAACAATCTTAAAGTACGGATCTTACTGATATCATAAATGCAAAAGTTTAGATGGATGTTTGTTAGAGTTTGTAGCCTAAACTGCTAAATGGATCTTGATGAAATTTGGCATAGATGTAGAATATAGTCTAGAAGAACACAGAGGCCTATTGTTTTTTTTTTAATTCAGCACAGACGGAGTCACGGTCGAAAGCTAGTACTATCTAATTTTTCACTTTATCACTTTAGATATAAAAAAGTTAACCTGGGATAAGTAGATTCCCAACACTGTAGCCCGCTGTACCGGCCACAGTATGTCCACCTCGGCCCACTCCCTGCACATCTCTGATCCTCCCTCCAGTGCCGGTAGTCGCTCCACTGAATGGGGCAACCGCTGTGGGCATGTTGTGTGTTTCCGCAGTGAATATTATATCCGACTCAGTTACCTCTTTTATCACTTCTGACGGCCCTCTCACATTAAGCGGTCTCAATTTGTTATGTTTGAAACCTTTAATGGCACTAAAATGTCAAAATATAATTAGTTTGTCATGATATATTAATAACGCAATTTTAGTATAAATAAGTAATAAAAACCTGCTATTATCACCAAATTTAATAACATTGTTATTATTTGATGTCTTCTGTGTAGATGCTACCATATCTATCAGTGATTCATCTAATTCTTTCCCATTTAATATGATTTTCCCCTAAAACAAGATATGTTTCGTAATTACTGTTCAAACATATATAAATTAGAAACGAAATATCAATTGATATTGTTACCTTGAAAAACCAATGTCTTGAATGTTCACTATTGCTCTGAGCAAGGTCAAACAACTCAACACTAGTTGGATCTCTTTGTAATTGATTTACAAATAAATTCATATAGAACTCCATATCCCACTCATCAAAAGCCAAACCTGGAAATAATTGTACTTATGTTCATATGTATAACAAATCTATCATACTAAATGAATGCGAAAGTTTAGATGATGGATGGATGGATTTTTGTTACAGTTTGTAGCCTAAACGGCTGAATGGATTTCGATGAAATTTGGTATAGATGTAGAGGTTAGTCTGGAAGAACACGTAAGCTACTACACTTGATTTTTTTTAATTCCACGCGGACGGAGTCGCGGGCGAAAGCTAGTATGCTATAAAATGTTATTATAGACCAGTGGAGGTACTAGAATAGTAAACTTCAAAGGTCGTCCAGGTGCATTTTTATATACAATTTTTATGAGCAAACACTATTTTTATAAAGTCTAAAAAGACATAATACTTAGTCAAATAAGCAATAAAACTATATAAGTTTACACAAGTGAAGATAAAAAATTAGTAATGGTATTAGAACTTAAACATACAGCCTTATAAATAAATGCGGTATAAAAGTAAACTTAGGAATAAACTGAGTATAAGCAAAGTTTGTACTAATAACTTATACTCAGTATTTGTAAGACCGTTAGACTAAAGAAAATGTATGTTTAGTTAAAAAGTGAACTGCTAATTCTCCACTATTTTTTTGTACATATTCTTAGTTTCCAATCTACTACATCTTAGTCTAATATTGTAGTTCAAGTGATGAATTAATTAATTAGAATTACCTAATTTTTCATTAACAGCTTTCATTGCCGCCATACCCTCTTTTTGCAACGGCACAACAAACCATGGTTCTAGATCCTTTGGTAGAGCTTCATTAAAGCTGTTCCGAGGAAGATTTTCTTTTGTATAAATACATTGTGTCATCCTATCATGTAATGGTGCGGCCAATTCTTCAAACATTTCCTTCGAGACATTTTTAGCCTGTTTAAAAGTAATGAGGTATCTAGTGGAATACTCAAGACGGACAACATCTCTCAAACCAACACTTTCACAAATTTGAACAGAATTACTTGAATCAGCAGTTGAAAAGTTAAATCTGAAATAAATATATTTTACCCAATTAATGTTTATAATAAGTCTACAAAATTAAGTGGACATAAATGTACATTTATGGTTTATAAAAGATAATAATAAGTTATTAGGACCAAATCAAATTGGTCATACATCAAGCGTATTTCTAAAATTATTAGAATACAATGTATTGACAAATCTTTGAAATAAATAAAAATCATTTAAAGCTTTCTTGTAAGTTTTCAGGTAATACATGTAATTTTAAATCATATAAAATGCAAAAAAAAGCAGAATAGTTAATATTTACCTGGGTCCAATTTCTATTATTAATTGATTATTTTGTACGCATTTGTAAGATGATTCATTCCTCAAAGCATTTGGCTGCAAGGGCGAACTTAAAAGCCATTTCAAAATTTTAATTTGGTTAATATTTAAATTGCCTTCCTCAATTTCCACGTGGTAACACAATTCTGTCGATAACTCGAGAACATCGGAGTCCACAAGTTTTAACTTTTGTAGTATTTCATTTGTTCTATGTGCACTAAACGCCTCGCCTAGATAAAATCGTATAATACACATGATTCTTCAACTTACACTTTCTGTGAACAAGTTTATACTGAACTATTAACGGGTCTAAATTATGATAAGTGTGACAATAATCTCTTGCATCAATGTCAAAGATCACGTTATATCAGTTGATTAACTCCACGACATTCACAAATAATACATCAACAACAATTACAGCTTACGCAATTGTTTTATTATTTTTGTATACTACCTACAATACACTACATTATTGCCGATAACTTCGCAAATGGTTCAAACAAATTCATTGTTTCTCATAACCATGCATAACATCCCTTAAATTTTTTAAATAACGTGAAGTGTTTGTGTCAAAACAACAGAAATAACGTTGCCATGGTAACCGATATTGGTGGATTTTGGGGGGACAATTTAGGAAAAAGAAAAGAAAAAATCGATTTAGTAGGCTTTGGCTTTCTTCGAAGAATTATTGATCATATCACATAAAATATATTCCTTTGATTTTCTACAATTTGTACGTTTCAAAATATAGTTATCGTTTTTAATAAATTACTTCGAAACAGAGGGAGAAGAAATTTTATAATGAAAATCGGAAACAATCGAAGAAAAGGATTTGGTGGAGTATAGAAAGAAGAAAAACATCCTGTTTCTGTTCGCCGCTTTCTTTGTCCAATAAACGTAGACAACCTAATAACTACTACCTCTGGACATGTTGCAGAGGCTAGGAACGAGACTTATGATGTACAGGTCAAGATTCGTTACCCTGTAACATAGTGTTTTACGAATTTGCCAACCAACATAGTAATGAGGTCTTTGTCTGGTCTAGCCAATCTATGATATAGTCACAAAATTATACTTATTATTATAAATGCCAAAGTTCAGATTGATGGATGGATGTTTGTTAGACTTTGTGAACAGATATTTGCTGAACAGATATCGTATAGATGTTTTGTTTTTTGTTTTTTAATTCCACGCGGACCGAGCCGCGGGCGAAAGCTATTTAAATATTAAAAGATAAGAAGTTTTAGAAGTATTGCCACCTGCAAACTATTAATTACTACCGTTCAACTCTTAGCGCTGTCCCCCACCATATGTTGACACTGTCAGACTGTCAGATGAGGCAACACTCTTTGGTTGGAGAAGCGCTTGAAATTGGAAGGTCCGCGAACGAAGCCAGGAAGCCATCTTGTTTTTTAATATGGCGGTTGGTCACATTGCTTAAATCGTTGTTCTTGTGATTTCTGTGCGAGTAGACTTTAGACAAAATGGATTTTTACTTTAGAAGAATATTCAGAAAAATAATTACTTAAAGGACGACAATAATACGTTAGATAATATAAAGAAAAACAATTTAAGGCGGCTTTCGCCTTTTCCGTAGGCTTCACGGAGCATTGCTTCTAATTTTATTGATTTTGCATATTGTTAAAAAATGATGATGTACACGGTAAGATTTTGACTTTACTTACAGAAATTAAATAACTTATTTATAAAAATCGTCTAAGTTGATCTTTATTTTATGATGACTTGTTAATCATGAATGTACATTCGATTGTTTTAATAGGTTATAGTACCGAATGACCATTCTGGTTTCAGCGTCTATTTTTAATAACTGGCTATTAAATTTGCGATAGCAGCAGTTTACGTTTAATAAGACTCCCTCAAGCATCAATGAACATGATCATATTTAACCAAGCTTACAATAGCTTGCAAGGCTATGTTGAATGCCTGCTTGCACATGCACGATTTTACCTCAAATTATTGTTTTTCGTGTACATTAGCATTTTGTTTGCATACAAATACCATAACAATAAACAACAAAGAACAATTACTATGTTTGTCGTTATGGTTTTTTTATATTTATGAAGTAACCTAATAAGTTAAAATCAGTTTCAAGGCTACTATTCATGATTAGGTGGGAAGTACACCAAACAAGTCAAGTTAAACAGAATGTCTTCAACAATTTTTTTCTGAAGTAAAATCCAGATTAAGTATTTTAGGTATTTTATGTATATGACAGATGTACCACTTTCGAAAACGCTTCATTATCTCGTGTACTTTTTAAAACGAATCCAATATTACTATCTTTAAGATTGTAACTTCAAGTATATTCTGCAAGGTAGTTTTTCCTTGGTAAAATTTGTCTAACGGGCAAAAGATAGTGGTGTATATTACTGTTAGGATAAATACAAATCAAGTCTTAAATTTTAAAAAATTACATTGGATTTATTATCTCAAATGTTATCAGTTGTGTAAAAGAGTAGCTTATGGAATATTTAGTCTGAATGTTAAAATATTCATTGATAGGTTTCTACGGAAACATGATTTTTGTAAACATCAGTTCTATTAATAAATTAATGTTTTTAGCCCATTAGTTTTAAAAAGTAGAAGCTACATGTGTTACTTTTGACCACATGCAGGGAACCAGCACCGAGCAGGACACCCGCTTCAGCGACAAGGAGAAGAAGCTGATGAAGCAGATGAAGTTTGGAGATTGCTTGACTCAACAGGTTCCTTTTTTTTATTAAGCTATAAGAGTATGTAATCTTTTAACTTTATAATACATCCTTCATTTTAAAATTTGATAACTACCAGGTGGACATGTCGAAGGTGAAGCTGGACGTGCTGAAGCCATGGATCACGCAGAAGATCACCGAAATTCTCAAGATGGAAGATGATGTGGTCATCGATTATGTCAACAATCAACTTGAAGAGAAGGTGATTAAGTCTTATTGTTTGTATTTAATTTTTAATATTAATAAAAAAATGTAATCATTGCAGTTTCTTTACAGTCAATGTTTAAATAAACGATAAATATTAAAAAAGGTATGGCTGTTGTTAAGAAACTGCAATTGAATGTTGTCAAATGTATATTGATTTGGTATGGATATTTTTATGGTCCCCACCGGCTAGCGCGCCGCCGTCGCCGCCGCCTGCCGTCGCCAGCCGTCGCAGCGCGCCGCGGCCCCACTCTTACGGACGCCATTAGCATTCTCAATCGGTATTTACGGGGAAATTACTTAATGCTAACTCAATTAAAACCATAAGCGATATGGCGATATTTATTTGAGAAGAGTCGATTAGGAAGTCCGGAAGGCGTTAAGAGAGCAATCTGACTCGCGGGAGGGAAGTCGCGTTCGTTAGGCCCTGCGTTCAGCATAATGTGGTTGTGTTCGCAAACCCCTTACAGATGCAAGAGCTTGAAGAGCGAAGAGAGAAATGTACGAGGCGGAGTCGCGGCGGCGCGAGCGGCGGCGGGCGGCGCGGCGGCGCGGCTCGCCTCGCGCAGCGGCGGCCGGCCCGCGCTCTTCTGCCTCGTGCCTTATGTATCTGTGTTCATCACGGCTCTCGCTTCCCTACCCGAGTCATTTTGACGCCTGTCGCATCCGCGTTGCATCTATACAAAGTGGCGCTCTTAACGTCCTTCATTTATGTCTCCGACAACTATTGAAACCGATATACTATTAGCGAAGGGATATTCGAAACGAGACCGGGTGTATGTTGGTTTGATAAATTGAACAAATTAATAACGATAGAATGTTTTCTTTCCCGATCCGTATCCTCGGCTCCTAGTTCCCTTGTCCAAAGAAAATGCAGATTAACTTGACGGGATTCCTGAACGGCAAGAATGCGCGGCTGTTCATGGGCGAGCTGTGGGAGCTGCTGCTGAGCGCGCAGGCCAGCGAGAACGGCATCCCAGACAGCTTCACACAGCAGAAGAAAGAAGAAATCAAAAAGAGAATGGTGAGTGGACATTATACATATTGTAACAGGTATTAAGTTGTCATTGTGTGTATATTCAATATCATCGTCTTGATTTTTTTTTCTGTATCGGGTAAATCTACGATAGAAACTCTGCCTTTCGGGGTAAAGACTGAAACTGACTAACTATAACATTGAGTGGCATTGTAATTATTATGTAATAGTATAATGTGGTATGATGCAGGAGGAGCAGAAGGACAAGGAGAAGGACCGGCGGCGGTCGCGGTCGCGGTCGCGCAGCCGCCGCCGCTCCCGCGAGCGCCGCCGCTCGCGCACCAGGTCCCGCGACCGCTCCAGCGATAGGAAGTGAGTACATCTAATATTTACCTCGTTACTACACAATTACTGATAAAAACATTGTATTATGGTTTGTTGTGTATGAGATGTGTCAACTGATGATATGTAAAAAAAATGGGAAATTAGTTTTCCATACTTAAAATAAATAAACCTTTTTTATATTTTAAAATGTATTCCGCACTGGCTGATATTTAAAATTCAATTGACTCGACAAGTACACTAATCGCTCGTTTACTTGTTGCTCTAGGTGTTGATTTCTAATTTTTGAAGTTGTGTAAAAAAAAACCAGATGATACTGTTTAGAGCAGTTTATTATGGAGTTGAATAGAAAGCGTGTTAGCAGGCACCGCAATGGCGGTAGTCCGCGTCGCTCGCGCCGCCGCAGCCGCAGCCGCAGCCGGAGCCGCGACCGCAGCCGCAGCCGCGACCGCGACCGCAGCCCCGCGCCCGCGCACAGCGCACCTGCCGCAGTTCCCGTCGCCGCTGCGCCCGCGCCCTCGCCCGCGCCCCCGCCAGCCCCGGCCCCCGCGCCCGCGCCTGTCGCCGCCCCCGCCGCAGCCAACTCCAGCATTGACGACATCAAACTACCAGACCCTAAAGGTATTTTACAAACATTCACAAAATAAATGAATATTTTGTGATGATTAGAAATGTGAAATTGTTGCAAATAAAATTCTTAACTAGCTTTTGCCCGCAACTTATCCTCGCGAAATTAAAAATTTTATGTTTTATAACTGTGGAAAATTTTAACTAGATCCGTTTAGCAGTTTAGGCTACAAACTAACAAACTTTCACCCATCTATCTATCTGAACTTCATAAATAATATTTCTTTTACAATCCTTTGATTGCTGCAGCAAGCAGCAGTATAAAGTTATTTTTATAGTATTAAATATAGTTTCTGCTTAGCTAATTTTTAAATCTGAGAATTTACTTTGTTTGATCCATTAAAAGAAAATGGCAAGTCACCGGAGAAGAAAGAAGACAAGGAGAAGTTAGAAGATGACCACAACTCTACTGCGGAGAATGTGAAGGAAGATAAACCTGAAGAAGTACCAAAGGAGGAGAAGACGGAAGAGGATGGGAAAAAATCTAGATCCGTTTCACCTGCTAAGTAAGTTTACATCGACATAGTACTTGAATTTGCTTTTATACCCCTAAAAACAAATATGCTTTAATCCTAATTATTTTTTTAACTTAGCATACCAAATTTACAACAATTTGATATGTCTAAATAAAAAAATAAAAAAATTTGGATCATTCTTGCTCTTATACCCTTACTTATAAGGTCCACTTTGAATCCTAGTTTGTAACTTTTTGCTAACTATCAAAATTGTTTCATGGTTATTAAGAATATCCTTTAGTTACCGTTAAGGAAGGATTTTTATTACCCCATCTTTAATTCTTGTTTTTCATCAGATCGACTGCTGGCGGCGCTGAGAAGGAAGCTGAGGCGAAACCTCCGGAGAAAACACGACACTCGTCCAGCGAGAGAAGATCCACTTCCGCCTCGTCTCGTAAGTTTTACAATTTTAATGTACAGCAGAAAATCTCTCATATAAATTGTGAAGATTTCTCTTTATTTATGTATGTAACGAATAAAATTCAAACTGTAGGATGGATTATAAAACTCTTTCTGGTGGTCCATACTTAAAAAACAAAAAAAAAAAACAGTATTTACTTGTAGGGCAGGGAGAGACCGCTATCATTCTTATCAATATATCAGTACATAAAAAAAAAATAAACAATAATTAATTAATAATTCCATATCTGTTATTCAAAAATAAAACTTAACATATTTACGTATGAACATAAAGTATTTTAGTATAGTATTTATTTCATTAATAGGATTCAACGATTTCTGTTATTTTAATCTTTTTGGCAGAATAACATTTGAATTTTCTTTTTTGTTGTATCGCCAAGTAGCGGTCGTCACCGGACCACAAGGGGCCACTAGTAAGTTTTCATTGAACATTAGTTGTTCCGAATGTTTTGTTTTTATTTCTTGCACGTTGTCGTATTTGTTTCTTGTTTCGGACAGGGCTATAAAATTATATTACTTTCACAAAATGCGTTTTTCAAACAGATTAACAAAATGTAGGTTTGCAATCATTAAACTAATTCAAATAAAATGAACTAAAAGAAACAGACTTATTGTTTTTGGTTAATTTTTATTTTGGGAAAAAACTACAATATTATAGAAAAAATAAAACCTAAATGTTTTGAATTGCAAATGTTACTGTTAGGGCGAGTTGAATTCGGCACTGAAATAAATGTGTATTATATTTTATTTTATTTTATGTTATCAGTTCAATGAGTGTCGTATTGTAGTTAGGTGTTTGATTTCAAATTAATGGAGTTAAATTGATGTGAAATGAATGTTTTGATGCTGCTAGGTACGTTGACTGAAGGACAATGTGTTTTGTTGTAGACGGCAGCGCGAAGAAGCGGTCGTCGCACAAGAAGCGGCAGTACCGCTCCAACCGCGACTCCTCCACCAGCGTCAGCCCGCGGCGCAGCTCGCGCAGGGAAAGGTACCCACAGGGGAAATACTAAATGTAACCTAGATGTATGCCGAGGCGAGCAAATTCTTGTTCAATAAACTACACTTTCGCGAAGGCAGGGCATTTCCGACATCTTTGTATACACATGATTTTTAATTATCAGAAAAAATATGTAGAAAAATTATTTAAAATAGAATAAATATTTCGTAGTCATTATTTAAAAAAAAATGCAATAACTTGGGGACAATAGTCATTAATAAAACATTTACCAAAAATTACATTAACCAAAAAATAGATATTTTTTAGCAGTTTTGTAAAATTGATTTTTATTTTTGCGTTTCATAAATCTGATCAGTATCGGCAACGTTTAAAAATTGTTAATCTCAATGTGGCAGATTCAAAGGTCATAAAGGAATTTCATAGAAGAGTACCTTAGAATGTTTTTCTTTTCACTTGTATTTTTCTTTATATTTATTTTTATTATAAGTAATTTTATTAAAAGTAATGTTCATGTAATTGTTTTTAGGAGTAAATCTAGACGGCGCAGTCGTCGTCGGTCCGTGGACCGCCGCGAGCGGGAGCGCGAGCGAGAACGCGAGAGGGAGAGAGAGCGCCGCCGCCGCGAGAGAGACAGGCGCGACAGGTAACCTCACCCACGTATTGTAAACCCTATTAGTTATATTTATATTTAGAATTATATTATTGCATTTCTTTTATAAAGTTTAAATTATATTGCAATTCTTAATAATAATCGACAAATATGATTTTATAAAATAGTATCCATGTTTAGCGAAATATAAACTACTGTAGCAAATGATCGCATACTGAACAGCAATTTTTCTTAAAAAAGCATTTGTTTAAACAAGATGCTGCATATAAAATCTTATTTGTTCGGATAGTTTGAGCGTTACTTTGAATTTTGGTAGTGTACATATGCATACGTGAATTTGGTAGCAATGAGCTATGTTGCGACATGAGTTGAGTGCACAGAGAACTGCGTACTGCGCACAGAACTGCGCACTGCGCACTAAAAACCGCGCACTGCGTCCTGCGCACTGAGCACTGCGCCAGTTTAACGGCTTCTGTTTATCCACGCAAGGTCCCGAGAGCGTCGTCGATCGCTCGAGAGACGTAGACGGTCGCGATCGCGCTCTCGACGACGTTCAAGAGACAGGTAATATTGGTTTTTAAGTATCCGGAAATGCTTCATAACTAGGAACGCACGTTTTACGCTATTTAACCAGTTAACTAATCGTATGGTACCGATAACCCAGAATTGATTTTTATCTATTCATATTAATTAACAAACTGAAGTTTAAAGATGCCTATAAACATGTCAATAGTCTTTCTAATATATCTGCATAACCATAAAAACAGCAGATTTTGATTAATATCATTGTTAATATTTTGTCAGTAACTAATCTACCAAAACATTTAATTAAATCATTGCAGAGGTATATGCATGTTTCACGTATTTCTTTATACATTTGTATTAAAAATTATATAATGTTAATAACGTGCTTTCCTATTATTCATCTATCATATATTTTCTTATGCTTGCCAAAAACCAGCATATTAATGCTTAATACATGATAGATACTTTAGAAATGATCTATTTAATAAGATGTTTCTTTAAAACGCATCAAGTACTTGTATTCATATAGCATGTGTAATTTAAACTTTAAAATAATGCTTGCTGGCGTCAATTTGTTATTAACCTAAAAATAGTCAACATGTCTTCATTTCAAAAAGGAGCAAGTGGACTTCATTGAAATTTCCCAATCTAGCATTGTTTCTCTATCACATCCATACTATGCATGCTTACTGTGAATGGTTTCTTCAGTCCATAAGTCATAAGACTGACTGATCGGTGCTTATCCATGACTTAAAAATTATTACCTTGACATCTCAGCTACAGATGTTTTTTTCTGTTTAGCACATATAATTATAAATGAAGTCTATACCTTGTAAAATCTTAATTTCTGTCTTTAACCCGATTGTCTGGGTATGTCCAAGTGAATATGGCAGGTTTACTTTAAACTGCTAAAAGTTTAAAAGTTCAACAAGTGAATAGCTGAAAAACAAAGCTTTTTATGTTGTTCAATGTGGTGATATTCAGTGAAGTAGCGTCGTGCAGTGTTGTACTTGTACAGCTGTGGCGTGATGGGAGGTTAAGTTGTGTATGTGTTAGGTCCCGTGACCGTCGCCGCTCGCGCTCCCGCAAGCGCTCCCGCTCGCACCGCCGCTCCGGCCGCCGCTCGCGAGACCGCCGCTCGAGGGACCGACGCTCCAGGGATCGCCGATCCAGGGACAGGTCCAGGTAAATTTTGGAACCCATATTCTTACATCATCGTCTTCCCCCTTTATCCTAATCCCGTAAGGTCGGTGCACCAGAATTTTATCCTCCAGGTAAGTATCTCCCGTCATTTCAGTCATCACTCCCTTTGTGATCATGTCACATTTACGAAATCCATCCAATTCTTTGAGTCTACCTCCAAACACATAAGTAAAGTTCTTCTTGAATCTGTATTACTTCAATTTTTTAATGTTTATTCCTGACGATTTTTTATATATTGTTTTCTACAGGGAAAGAAAATCCCGTGATCGCACTAGAGACAGGAGGTCTAAGGAGAGGAAGTCTCGTGAAAGAAGGTCCAGTGACATCATTAAAGAACGCTTAGAAAAATCTGTGTCTATACCGAGAAAAGGTTAGCTTAACTTCATTAGATCATTGGAAATATATATACATTGTTATTTGTAATTTAGAGTTCTAATATTTTTTGCAGAGATCTTTGAAAAGTTACCGAAGCCAATTGAACGTACTTCTATCCCTCCTGAACAAAACTCGAAAGAGCATGTATCGAGTTCAAGTCGAGAATCGTCGGTTGCAAATGACAAGTCTGCTGCGGTTAGTGACAGTCGACCTAAAGTAGCTCAAGTTTCGGATGACGAAGACAGAGAAGATTTTTTACCTATCCCATTCACACGTGAATATTCTAAGAGTCTGTCTCGTACCCCATCGCCTTACTTAAGAAAACAAGAAGTTGAAAGTAACAAAAAATCCGATAGATCCGCGGACGATGCCTCGGGTAAAGAGCAAAATGACGAAGAAACTAAAACACAAGAACCTAAAAAGTCGAAGCGAAAGGCTCACCAATCAGATAGTGAAAGTGAAACTAGTGAGGAAGTGGCTAAAGCTAAGAGTAAGGCTAAACTCAAGAGAAAGGAGAAAACTACCTCAAAACGACCTAAAAAACCTAAAAAAGAAAGCTCTTCTAGTGACAGCGATTCCGAAGATTCATCTTCTAGTGACTCTGAAGAAGATAGAAAGAAGAAAAGCAAGAGAAGCGCGAAAAAGAAGTTAGCAAAAAAATCCAAAAAGAAGCGCGCTCGGTCATCAAGTTCGGACTCCAGCTCAGAAGAGGAAGTGAAACACAAGAGTTCAAAATCAAAACAAAAGAACATTCCAGAAGAATCTGATTCTGAGAAAAAACCGAAAAAGAGGACCAAAGAAGCGAGTATGGATCGCTCAAAAATTGAAAAGTTGGACAGTAAACAGTTAAAGTTAAAAAAAGCAGACAATTCAGAGGATTCCCATGACGATAGTTCAGACAGTGATGCAAAAGCTAATAAGAAGAAAGTTGCAAAACATGATTCTAGTAGTTCAGAGAAAGAAATAAAACGAAAGAAACTGGAATCGGTTAAAGAAAAAGCCATTTCTCCCGAGAATGTGAAGCCTCGTAAGGGCGAGGAGAAGCCTGTCAGAGCGAAGCATGTGGAGGAAACAAAGTCTAAATCTCGCGACGATAATGAAAAGAAAGGGAAGAAACGAGAGAAGGAAGAATCTTCCTCCGATAGTGATCATGTATCAAAAAAGAAACCTAGAAAGAAAGTTTCCGATTCCGACTCTGATTCTGAGAGTGATGAACCCAAGAAATCTAAGAAAAACAAAAAGCATAAGAAGCATTCGAAAAAACATAAGAAACACAAGAAACATAAGAAATCTTCGAAGAAGAAGGATGATTCTTCCGATAGCGAGGAAGGTGAAGAAGAAGAGGAGGAAGGAAGAGTGAATAATGAGGACCTGGAGAAGAAGCTACGCGAAAGAGCGTTGAAATCCATGAAGAAGCAGGCTAGTGCCTCCGGGTCTGATTAAAACCGTCGTTTCATAACATTGTCGTGTAAGTTTTCACTTTCATTGGTTTAATTTTACGGTATGTAACAATTTAAGATAATATGGCATATAATTTACATAATACGTGAATGTCTTATTGTTAGTAATAAAGTTTTAAACATATACAATGTTTTATTTCTTTCTAAACACGCCCAGATACATACTCTTCTTTATAAAATGTTTTAGATAAGTGGATAACAATATATTACAATATTGAGTTTAGTTATCTACCAAAGTGAGAAAGACAAACATTGGAGAAACATGCTAGATTTTTGTCAGTGTGTTTTCATAGATAGGATTAGAAATAATTTTATTACGAAAGTATTTGGATTGTTATTTATTCATAAAAATAAAACTTCATAAAGTTCTTAATTTTTACTTTGGAAAATACTTTGGTACTTAATTGTATGATAAAATTCTTAAATTAAATAAATTATTTTAGTGATTTGTTCCGTTTACCTCCTTGTATATCCCCTATAACCGTTCACGAAGCTTGGAGTGATGTTGCCGCCTTTGTATATGTTGCCGGGTTGATAGTAGCCGTAGCCCAAATGATTGTTTCCTTGGTAGTATGGATTGTTATATCCACTGTAGGAGTTCAAACCTCCGTTGCCTCCGTAACCTCCGTAACCCCCGTTACCTTCGAAACCCCCGCTCCCTCCGTAACCTGCGTTACCTCCGTACAAATTTGTATTATATCCCCCGTAACCTTTATACCCCCCGAATCCCGAGTTCCCGGCATATCCCACATTACCGACATATCCGGCACCGCTGAGAGGGCGTGCGGTTCCTGTATAACCTACGCCACTGTATCCGGGATATCCAGCTGTAGGATATGCACTATGTCCGGATATACCGCCGTAGTTTGCATTATATTTGTCGTTGACCACTCCAAACCCGGTCACACTATATCCGTATCCGCCGGGTGAGCTGCCGCCCCAGTCGGAGTACTGATGGCTATCTGCAAAGTGTAATATTTTGATTATACCTATTTCCTAGTTTCTATCCTTTATTTTCTTTCGTGTTGGTTACGGGTCTACAAAGTGCAAAAGTTTTGACACGTTTGTTTTACTTTAGGATCGACGCCCAGTCAAATCGCGTTGTTATAGATTGAAAATTAAATTAATTAGAATTAATTATTTTTGTGTATAGGCTACAAATTGTAAGCTTTAAATTACATTTTCTATAATGTAAATTGTTTGCCAAGGTCTCGAAATCCTATAAATCCTAATAGCGCTAATCACGACTGCTATGTAGAGTAATGGCAATTTGTCTGACATCAGGGGCCTATTACGAAAATTGGTTTTCTATCCCAGATAATACAATATAGAAATACACATACATGAACTGGCTGCGGTCTTCAAATCCTCCTTTTCAACATCATTTACAGGTAATTCTTTATTCTGTGGTGCTGCATTTATACAGTAAATAACCGGTAATAAAACTAATATTTTGTGCCACATCTGAAAAAAAAGTTTAATCTTTAAAACGCTAAACGTTATTAGGTATTTTTGAGATGTGTAAAAAATCTTAAATTAGCAAGTTAATAATTTACATATGATAAAAAATAGCACGGATGTTTGTAACTTGTAGTTAATTATGTTGTGAAGGTTTTCACTTGCGTGGTAATTTGACCTTAAGAATGACACTTAACACGATAATCAGCGTCGTTAGAATATTCCCACGTTAACATCAGAACATAAGTCCAGTCCGAGATTCATTACCGCGGTTCAAGAACAACACGTAGCTATTGTTTTATGTGATTTATTAGCACATTTCAAGAACACTATTATGTTCCTAATTCGGACTTCCTGAATATTTGTGCCCATTGAATACATAGTTAAGGAACTGCGAAATATTAAATCGTAACTTAGCATACACATTACTACTTGACCAATAATTTAGGATTCTGAATTACAGTTAATTACTCGTACACAACATAAAAGCTGTAAAATGAAATTTACATTTTAATCTCACTTTGCGTGTCGACACTGATGTCTTCAGTGAGCGACAATTACACACTACGTTTATTAGTTCCGTCAGTTATTTTATAGCCTAAAGTACGTTTTTTTGTTTACAAACATGCTTACGTACTTCTTGCCATGCTGAGATGTAATAAGTGGAAACATCTGTCATTTGCACGTATTTGTTTATTGGAATATCTGTTTTGTTTTAAATTGTTGTCCAATATTAAAATTTTCATGGTCCAATAATTGGGTTCGTAACATCTACTTTTTAAAAACCAATGAATCTTTGTGTCTAACAAGATTTTTTTTACTAGTTACAGCCACGTTCTCTTCGTTAAAATCTATACTACTATAATAAAGCGTAAACACACACTTCTTTGTTGCCTAAGATGTCAGCAATTACAGCATATTTTTGAATAATTCTTTTATTAATAAAAAGCCCTACACTTGCGTCACGCTTTAGGCTATATATTTTTGCGCCATTAAACTAAGGGGGTGAATATTTTGGATAAAAACCCTAATGTGGGAAAGAGACCATAAGTTGCTGCCAAGTTGTTTTGACATTTGTAATTGATAATTTGACAAACGTAAACAATAAAATTTAATTTTTATAATTTCATGCGGATGAAGTCGTACGGGAACAGCTAGTATGGAATAAAGTATGAATTAATATGCATTTAAAGTGTGACTCAGTCTGTATGTTCGCACATAATTATTAAAAAAATTACATTGAGTTGAATAACTGAATAGTTTTTCTTATAATAACATTCGCTTTTATGGCGGATTTTCTATGACTTCTGGTTTTTTACATTGATATACTACAACCACTGATACACTAATTTTAATTATAGAAGATACCAATAAAAATATAACTGACATTTGCAATAGTTGGAATGGCAATAGTTGTTTGTTCACGTTTATAGAAAGTGTGCTCTGAATGGGAATATGCGGGTATAAAAATGCGTACATTTGCCTCTGCGGTAATGTCGCATCATACGCACTAAATTCTGTAATATTATGCTAAAACGGTACCATTATGTTAGAGAACGAACATTTTCTAAAAAGACAAAATTAGTGTGACAATTTTTCATAAACGTCTTTTTTCTTGAATATTGTCTGATAGGAAGATTTTTAGATTTGGAACCGGTGGCCCAAGAAGTTAAAATCAATATATATATTTTTTTCTTTTATATGAAAAATAGCTATTGGAACCATCTTACTAATATATTAAATGCGAACGTTTAGATGGATGGATATTTGTTAGAGTTTGTAGCCTAAACGACTGAAAGGATCTCGATGAAATTTGGTATAGATGTATAGCGTAGTATGGCAGAACACATAGGGTATTTCCTTTTTTCTTAATTCCACGCGGACGGAGTCGAGAGATAAAGCTATTAATTTTATATTTTATATTAATTTGTGCATCGATTTATAGATCACAATCACTTTCCACAAGTTTAGAATATTTTACACTAAATTTATTTTTCGTTTTCTTTAAAATTGAATTATAATTAAAATGTAAATTACTAACCATAATATCGCCAACACGGTTTTTTAGCAGTACAATTTTAAATTTCATAAATTAATAAACATGGAATCAATAAACTAGTATATTATATCTATGGTTAGAGATGAAAAATACTTACATTGGTGTTTATTGTTTTAAGTATTGCGAAGCACTGGCTGCACTGACACTTGTAGTGCCCTTAGCGGATAGGAGATGCGCTCTGCGTGCGTGCGCATGCGTCCCATGGCTTATAAACCGTGGGAGTTTTTGCTTGTAATTGACAATGGATTCCTCGGATTTAATGAGTCACTTTGTAGTCAGACCGTCCTTCACTAAGATGCCATGATTCCATCTAAAACGGACACAATATGTCGTTCTACAGACATTATTTCATTGTCTACCTATTCGGGTATTTATTTACAACTTCCTAATAATTAAAACGTAAATGAGCTGTTGGGAGGTCTGATGTAAACTCAAGAAATGTGAATGTTAAAGCAGTTTATTTGACATATGGTCACATCCATCATCTTAATTTCTGACCCTAATCTGACAATGCTCAGATTGTAAAACACAAACCTTTGGCAGTCATCACTGTAGTGTTATTGTGGAAATTACTATTGATTTATTCAACTCTAGGATAAGAATAATATATATATATGCAGTTAGACCTCTATAAAGATGATTAGTAAGATGTTAAAATTTATGAAATAAAATTTCACACATATTTTTTTTATTTATTGATTTTCGATAATTACAAAAGATTCGTGTCGAAAGTATTAAAATATAAAACACAATATGGTACAACCATGTAACACATTCTTGTAAACATTACATACATAAGAATAATACATAATATGTCCATCTCTTTATTTATTAAACGTTATTCTGTTCAATAAATATGTAAATTACACAATTTTGAGATCGTCCAAGATAAATTATCGGACAGTCTCAAAATTAAATTATGCGTTTTATCACTTCATTCTCCCTAATACCAAACGTAATATTTTTAATAATTTACTTTTTATACATTAACTTAATGTTCCGCCAGTTTTACTAGTTTTTACATCTTTTATTAGTTTACGACGTACTATTTTCCTTGGATGGCTGGCAGGTTCGCTGGGTACATCGCTGTCTGGCTTGCTCTCTGGCTTGCTAGCAGGCTTACTGTCTGTTTTGCTGACCGTTTCACTCTCGGGCTTGCTGGCCGCCTCACTCTCTGGTTGTTCAGACGTGTTACTGGTGGTCTTAACAAGAGGCTGTGTAGCTGGATGGCTTGTTGGCTTTATTTGATCTTTCAACAGAGTTTCTAGCTCGGATAAAGTGCGGATTTCACGCAAATCGTTTAATTTGAGGTCATTCATTTTAAGGTCATTAACGTTGCGTGCGCCGTTTAGTCTTCCACGGTATCTGTAAAGGCCCCTATTCGCTTGACACTGGGCGCAGTTATAAGGTACAGGTACAGCAGATGGGAAGTTTTGCTGCGCGGTGTGCATATCTGTTGCATTCCCCGGGCAGTTCGGTACAAACACCACCGGTATAAATCCTATGATACCATAGGGAGCGTATCCCTGATTCACAGGATAACCTTGCCCTTGCTGAGATACTGCTGTCGAGTCATTCTTCCCTGGCTGGAGCAAGTAGCACGGGCAAGATGAAGGACTTGGCACGATAGGCAGAGGGTAGGGTATAACGTATATTGGGAATGGCGGCATCTGATTAACAGGGGCGTATATCGGAGGTTGTACCCCGGTTCCTGAGGGCTGGCCAACTGAGTCACCGCCTGAAAGTAAACAAAGTATTATTGAAAACTGCATGAATAAACATAAAATGCATTCTTATGCTGTTTGATAGCGAAGATGTTTGTTTTTGATGTTTATTTATGACGTGAATTCAAAATCTTTTACCGCACAGACTCGTAAGAATATACCAAACAACAGAACGTAAACTTAAAAGTCACTTTTGTGCAGCACTTAAACGTCACATTTGTGAAATATATTGTAAAAAAATATAATATATGAGTACTAAGATTCCATTGCCTCAACTAGCGGTATTCGTTCGGTAAAATACAAGAAAATCATATTATTGTATAAAAATGTCATGTTTTTTCATTTTTGTATTACGGCGAGATTGGCAGTTTCTTATGTATGAAATTTTTAATCCATAAAATGCTTATAAATATTATTTATTATCTTAAGCAGTATAATATTGACTATTAAACCCCGTTTATTCAATTAAGCTAGCATACTTAGTTTACGAGATTGTTAGGTTTTTGATTGACCCTGATTTAATGCTCTTGAGTGTATATTGTTTTATATTCCAAAGTTCAGTGTTAAACCTGTCATTTAATAGAAAATAAATATAATTACCTTCTGGTGACCCCGGCTGTCCTGGGTATCCGGGCTGGCTTGGCTGACCCGGCTGTCCTGGGTAACCGGGCTGGCCTGGCTGTCCTGGTTGTCCTGGTCCTCCAGGATAACCTGGCTGTCCTGGTTGTCCTGGGTAGCCAGGCTGGCCCGGTTGTCCTTGTCCTGGTTTACCAGGTTGTCCGGGATGTCCTGGGTATCCTGGCTGGCCTGGTTGACCTGCTGTGCCAGGTTGACCCGGCTGTCCTGCTTGACCTTGTTGTCCTGGGTAACCGGGCTGGCCTGCTTGTCCTGGTTGTCCTGCAGTTCCTGGTTGTCCTGCAGTTCCTGGTTGCCCTGGCTGTCCTGGGTAGCCGGGCCGGCCAGGCTGTCCTGGTTGTCCTGCAGTTCCTGGTTGACCTGACTGTCCTGGGTATCCGGATTGTCCTGGTTGCCCTGGCTGTCCCGGTTGTCCTACAGTTCCTGGTTGTCCTGGCTGTCCAGGGTATCCTGACTGGCCAGGTTGACCTTGTTGTTCTGGGTATCCAGGCTGGCCTGGTTGTCCTGGGTGTTCTGCAGTGCCAGGTTCACCCGGCTGTCCTGGGTAACCGGGCTGGCCTGGTTGTCCTTGTTGTCCTGGGTATCCAGGTTGGCCTGGTTGTCCAGGCTGTCCTGGGTAAACAGGTTGGCCTGGCTGTCCTGGTTGTCCTGAAGTTCCAGGTTGACCCGGCTGTCCTTGTTGTCCTGGTCCGCCAGGTTGACCCGGCTGTCCTGGGTAGCCTGGTTGGCCTGGTTGACCTTGTTGTCCTGGGTATCCTGGCTGGCCTGATTGTCCTGGGTATCCTGGTTGGCCTGGCTGCCCTGGTTGACCTGCAGTGCCAGGTTGACCCGGCTGTCCTGGGAATCCGGGCTGGCCTGGTTGTCCTTGTTGTCCTGGGTAACCAGGCTGGCCTGGTTGTCCTTGTTGTCCTGGGTAACCAGGCTGGCCTGGCTGCCCTTGTTGTCCTGGTTTACCAGGTTGTCCAGGCTGGCCTGGTTGTCCTTGTTGTCCTGGTCCGCCAGGTTGGCCTGGTTGTCCTGGGAATCCGGGCTGGCCTGGCTGTCCTGGTTGTCCTGCAGTGCCAGGTTGACCCGGTTGTCCTGGGAATCCGGGCTGGCCTGGTTGTCCTTGTTGTCCTGGGTATCCGGGTTGCCCTGGCTGTCCTTGTTGTCCTGGTTTACCAGGTTGTCCAGGCTGGCCTGGTTGTCCTGGTCCTCCGGGTTGTCCCGGCTGTCCTGGGTAT